TGCATGCACAAAAACACACTCAATCAATCAGCAGTGCGGGGGAACAATATGTCCCATTATCATTCAGATACATGCAAAACACCACCAAAAAAAAAAAAAGGAGAGATAAAAAGGCACGTCGGACAAGGCACCCCTGCTCATGTCTCGCTTCAAAGAGAGAGAGAGAAAGGGAGACAGAGAGGGAGGGAGAGAGAGAGAGAGAGAGAGAGAGAGACACGCAGGGTGCAGGACCCACACGGTGTAGTTCCAGCCAATTGCATTCCAGAGAAGTGACCATGGCCAGTGATAAACAAAGCACCATAGATCATTCCTCTCCCAGACGGAGCCCGGCGCTGGAGGCAGCGGAAGGGAGAGCGGTCAGACACACAGAGAGAGACAGAGAGAGAGAGAGAGAGAAGACGACAGAGAGCTCACCGCCTATATGCCCCTCTGCTATCCTCTGATGCTACATTTTGACGCCCTTTTTGCAACTGGAATGCCATTAAAAAAGCCGGCCGTGCTGCAGATTCGCTCTCCACGGCGAGAGAAAAGACAAGAGAGAGAGAAAGAAAGAGGGAGGGAAGAGTGCTGCTTCTTCTCTCGCTGCCACTGTGCAATTCAAAAAAAAACAGCAGAACAAAAAAAAAAGGCTTAAATTGTTCCCAAAAAGGCATTCAACACTTACCCAGACACCAGACTCAGATTCAGTGTTCATTTGAGCCTGCAGTGTGCGTCACAACAGAAACCTCAGATATTCCTCCAAAGCAGATGTGCAAAAAGAGGAGCAGTGGAGGTTCTCCCTCTTTTGTTTGTGAGCCTGCCTGGCTAGGTTTCTCTATTTGCATCAGCCGGCTTTTTTACAGCTTTGAAGCAGGTGGATGACAAAAACATCAATCTCTCCAGGCACATTGTGTGGCATGCACACTTTGACACACTCCCCTCACCAGCTCCATACAGTATAATCACACATTGCCTATTCTCTGCTCGCAGCGCCGCCAATGAATATGGGGCTCAAAGGGAAAAGTGAAGGACAAGTGTGCATTGTTGGAGTGCGCTTTTGTTGTAATCATGTTTTGATTGGATTAGAATGGGAATTTGCTGTATCTCCAGAGCTCCATTTTGCCGTACGCTGAGGTGATTTTACGCACACTGGTTAAGGGACGGGACATTGGCTGATGGATGGAAGGTAGCAGCAGACAATAAGGGGTCCGTTTGATAGTTTTTTCCCTCTTTAATTGTGTTTCGGTGCAGTTCTCTGTAGCCCGAACGAGACCGAGACCAAAAGGAAAAAGAGTGTCCATCCAGATTGTTCGTACAGGTGTCTGAAAGTACAATATACAATACAATACAGGACTGGTAGGCCAACATGGCCAGAGCCCGACCAACTTTTTCAACATCAAACAAACAAAAATGAAACAAGATTCTCCAGTAGCCAGTTTTTTAAAGTATGAACTCCACATATATGAAACTCTGTGACCACAGCCTGTAAGAAAGCAATACATTCTGCTTTCTAAAAGTATATTGGCTAATTGTGTCAAGTGACGTAAATCAAACTTTCCCCATTCAAATTCTTCTCCACGACTGCATTAGCTTTAAAGTTTGACTGGAAATGAAAAATAACCTCTAATCTTTAATCTTTAATCTAATCTGTGTGTCACAGGATGAATTATAATATAAATCGGGATCCTTTTGGCTTTAAGCTCCTGCAACTTTACTGTTTCAGTTTACTCTTACCAACCTTGTTTAGTCTTTCTCATGATGAACCCACTGCACATGATACCTGCCCGGCACCAAACAGCTGGCAGTCAACGCGAGCGACGAGCTGGCGACCACGATGGAGCAGTTAGCGGCTAAAGGAGTCGGTGGAGACCAAAAACAGAACAAAAAGGTCGCTGGCGGTTGGACTCCAGCGCTGGGTTGCACCAGCTGTGTGTATGTCCTCGTTGACAGAGGATCAGTTTATAATAATAATAATAACTAATTCAGCTACTAAAAAGCAAGCTGGATCGATATTGAAATATCATATCAATAAATTAGGTCCCTACCCGATTAATGTCTTGTAAAATGGCTGAAAAATATGTTGCGTGGCAGGAAAACTTCTGTTTTACCGTCAGTGATTATAATTCACACTACCTCAGAGACATGTGTAACTATTTAGTTGTTATTAGACATCATATAATCAATCATAAATTCAGATTAAACCTAATATGCAAATACAACCTTTGAAACAGGCTAAAGTTTATTCAGAATCACAAAGACATTTTTAAAGTAGTAAAGACAGTTGGAATTCATCCAAATTTGGACTCCTGTGGATTCAGACAGTCAACAGACCAGGCAGCTCAGTCGGTAGAGCTGGCGACCCATATAGGCAGCGGCCCGGGTTCGAGTCTGACCTGCGGCCCTTTGCTGCATGTCATCCCCTCTCTCTGCCCCCCTTTCTGTCTCCAAGCTATCTCTGTCAAATAAAGGCCAAAAAAATAATACTTCTAAAAAAAAATCGGAAAAAAACAGACCAGGCGGGGTCAGTCATCAAGATAGCTTTACCGACCCTAACCCTAAACCCTAAACCCTAACCCTGTGGTGCAACAGCTTTTATTTTAGTAATGCTAAAGTCACAACTTGGTAATAATTTACATTAGGATTGAACTCACACACAGCTGCTGCAACAGAAACACAACTGTGAAGGAAGACTGCTGGATGTGTAACAAACAAACAACGGCCCCGGGGCCACTTCTGACCCAACCCATTTCCTCTGGTCCACCACCTGATGTCACAAAGATTATTATTATTTTATACCAATTTAAAAATGCCCCTTCACTACAATTAAAATAAAAACACAATTCTACTTTAGAAAATGCACTTTGTCCACACAGACGTGTACAAACTGTGGATAAGAAGAGAGCAGCTTCATTTGTTGTAGATATTAAATGATGACAAGAGAATGTATAGAAACATTGTTAATGCAGTTTAATGGAAACATCTCCAGAATATGGAGCTTTCTTGCAGCACTTGAACATTGAAGTGGCCCTTTTATGTGATTATAATAGTTTGTGTGGGATTTAGTGACATCTAGTGGTGTAGTTGCAGATTGCAACTCCTATTTGGTTTGTCCCTCCTGGGCTACTGTGGAAAGGTGTTTAAACAGGTCGGACTGCATGGAAGGCATCTGTAGATAAAAACATCTCATTCTAAGGTAACAAAAACACAAAGATTTTTATTTCCAGCTGATATTATATTACATTTCTGACAAGAGATCCTCCTCACTGTTTCACACTGGACATTTAAGGTTTAGTTTTCATTGATTCAGAAGCTTCATACTTCACATCATGGCCACGTCATATGATGATGGGAGACCCGTCACAATCAGGGTAACCCAGAGAGAAACCCTGCAGCATCCTGGCTCCCTTTACTGCCTGTCTCTGTGCCCCCCCCTGGCAGCGGGTGAGACAGCCCTGGATGCTTCGGTTAATCCTCGAGGACGAAGGCGGTCCTAAACTGTCCCGCCTGTCTCCTGTCTGTGCAACTGGATCTTTTATGTTAATCAATGAAATGAAAAAAACACCAATCGTTCATCCATCATTCTCCGTGTCTGCGTGCTGTCAACTTTATTACAACATTATTCCCAAAATAAGAAAAGTGGAAGTGAGACAGAAACGTAATGAGAGACATTTATAAACTGAAGATGACACCTTGAACGCCTCAACATTTGCATAAATCTATATCTCTTTGTTACGAGGGGGAAAAAAAGTGTCTTTATCCTATTAATATCTTAACTCTGTTGTAATTTCATGACTTTAGGCCCTCTGCTTTTACCTGATGTCATACTTTATGGCATATTTTAGCAGAATAATTTGACTGTGCTGTGGTTATTAATCTTTCAGTCAGTTTTCAGTCACAGTCACAACTTCTCTTCTAGACCTGTGCAGTAATAACCCGAGCAGGGGACAAAGAAAGACCAGACAGTCAGTCTAATAAATGCAGAAGAGTCAAGGAAGCTTTATTCTGCATCTACACATCGACAGCTAATGCAACTTTCAAATGTCAGGAACACAATCTTCTTCAAGACTTATAATTCAGACACTGCGTTAAAGTGCTTTTGGTAATCATAAATCACTTTTATTGGAGACATCGACGTAGATGGATAGACATAATGGACAGACATATATATGCTGTAGAACAGTCAACAGCAAACTTTAAAGTTTTACAATTAAATCATTTAATTCTCTTGTTTTTGAATCTTTATGTTTTGGAAACAAGCTAAAGAATTGATATTCCTAAAATAGTTCAGAAACTCAAAGTGAAATATTGTTGATGATTTAATGTTTTCAAATAATTTTATTATTCAGTGAAATCTGATTCTCAACTCACTGTGAACAAAACTGGAAAATACAGAATTTTATGTTTTTAAGACTTCTTCAAGAAGAAAAGTAAATTACCTCAACAAAAAGCGTTTTGCAGTTTATTTGGTAAAGACACTTACAATGAAAATGTTTGTGTGTTTGGTGCAAACAAATTACATCAATCTTTTTGAGTTGTGACAACTTTTAATGAAATTATGTTCAATCAACAAGGTCAATTGAGTTCGGAGAATTAGCTTTTCCTTTATTGTGCTCGGGGAAATTTGTTCAAACTATTTTTTCCCCACATTATTTTAAAGATATTTTTATCTTATGTACTTACGATAATTGTGAACTCAAGTTTTCAAGTAAAGTTTGTTAAGTTGCTCCAATTACATTCACTAGTTTTTAGCTTTTTCATATGTGGCGAATACAGATTGTTTATAGTGTTAATGTCATAGTGATAATGATGTCATGAGAATATTTTTATTATAATATAGTAATAAACCATGTGTAGTTATTTACAAATAATGACCAAATAATGTCTTTAATAATTGCAAATAACAGTTAAACAATAAATATACAACCACACACTATTTACACACTGTGACATTTAAACGCCTCACCAACAAGTGTCTGCATCGACATTCCGATATTTTTCAGGAGTCAGTGAAGGCAGCAGCGTGACGTCAGCTGTTTTGTTTTTCGTGGCGCGAGGAGCCTTCACGAGCCACTTCCTGTCTGAACACTAACGTTAACGTCACGTTGAGCGATTTAACGTCTTTAAGTGAAATACCTGAGTTCAGGTGTTATTGAACAGTCGAGTAACCGCCGTGAAGATGGAGAGTTCGTTGGTGAAAGACAACCCGCTGCTTTTACCGCTCAACCAGGACAAAACTGTCTATGACGGGTTCATCACTGTGCAGGTAAGTTTTTACCGAACTACATTCAAAAAAGTGCCAATTTAAGGATTCCTCGCTGTGGACACAACGACATGCGTGGTGGAAAATAACTTCAGACATTTCATGTATGTCTACGGACCGCTGCTAACTTCGGCACATGTGTAGGAAATATTTGGTCTCTGTAGAAAAACTTTTGATAACTTTTATTACTGATTTGCACGCGCATTAACGTCACAACGTAACACACAGCCACGTTATCTCTTGTTGTGCAGTAACGTTCTATTGGCGTCAGTCAGTGGGGTGTCCTTACGAGTGAAACAACGCTTTACCAAACTACATTCAAAAATGTGTTAATTTAAGGATTCCTCGCTGTGGACACATTTACATGCGTGGTGGAATATAACTTCAGACATTTCACGAGTGTCTACGACCCACTGGTGAATTCGGCAGCATTTAGTTAATACTCGGGCATTTTTAGACAAACTTTATTAACTTTTTTCTTACAGATTTGCACACGGATTAACGTCACTACGTAACGTACAGCTACGTTAATAATAATAATAATAATAAACAACTTTATTTATACAGAACTATTCAAAACAAAGTTACTTACATGGCTGTTACATAATAAAAACTAATCAAATACATTTAACAAAAAAATATACAAAATTTAAAGGATAAAAGATAATAAAATAGATGACACATGATGGAAATTAAATGTTGTGCTAGAATGAATAAAAGAGATGTTTTATTATTTCACTATATTTTATCTTGAGGTTAACTTTGGAGCGTTATTTAGCCTCCTTCCAATATAGACTTTACCAATATTTGCTTGGAAAAGCCGCCAAAAGAACCAGCTGCTGCAAAGACAATGAGCTTTAACTGTTGTAGTTTGAAGACTGATTTAAAGAGGATAATGCTAAACATGGTCAGCGGGTTAAAGGTTATTAGATGATGCAGCTGGCTAATGGTAGCACTGTAACTCAGTTGTCCTGTTGTGTTACTTTGTTCTTGCTGTGAATCTCACAGGAACGAGACTTCAGGATGAGAATACTGCTGCCACCGGATCGCCAACTGGCACGGGCCAGGTACGACTGATCACCTCACCTTCGCCTTACAGCAACTTTTCTATCATTGATTAAATGATCATATATATTTTAAATTATATTCAATGCATAACAATAACAGTAGAGAATAAACAGTAAACAAGATAAAAGCTGCAAGGTTGTGTAAAATTTGAGATTGTGTTGAATTTTGAGCGGATTATTTCCTGATATTGATCAGAGATGAGTTTTCCCGATATTTTAAGGAATCTTTTATACAATTCTCTGTCTGTATTATGTATTTACATTTTTTTTAACGATCATTCATACTTAATAGTCTCTTGTTAGAACTGTACTGTACTGCAGGACAATGAGCTAAAGGCCTGCTGTGTACAGTTTTAAAGTTTTCCTACACGTCTTAAAATCAGGCCTTGTGACCCCTAGTGGGGGGCCCTGACTCCCAGGTTGGGAACCACTGCTTTACAAGAGCCCAGACATCAAGCTCCTTTTACAAACTCATATCCCAAATTACGAGATAAACCTAATATCTGTGTATATATGTGTATGCTGTACTATCTGACGTGTTGTAACGGTGCATCCTTTCGTCCCTGCAGGCTGCACTGCTGCTGGCAGTTAAAGCACCTGTTGCGTGGCTACGAGCACATAGTGAAGCAGGTAAACTCTACACGCCCTGTCATATGTTTGTTGTTGAGTTCTTCCCCTGAGGTCAGGATGAGCGCTCTGTGTTTCATATTTTCTGCCGTGTCATTCCTTTGTGCCCGGCGTCGGGCCTGGCGTCGCTCCCGCGCTCTCTGTGTCACCCATCAGGCTCGCCTCACTCGGGAGCAGAGAAAAATATTTTTCACTGTTTAATTAACATCGCCTGGAAAATGTCCCTATTTGTTATGTGGCCCCTCAGGGTTATTTGGATGAGATTGATATTTCACCCCGGGCTGCAAAGTTCATTATTTTCACAGCCTTTAAGCTATCATTAATTATTAAAGCTGGTGGCAGCCCCCATTAATCACAAACACTGTGTTTGATTTGAATGGCTGGCTAGAGGAAGAAAAAGAAAAAACAGACACTGTCACTTCATTATCCCCCCATTCAAGGATGTCTTTTCTCTCTTGTTTGACTCCTCGCAGAGGCTGCAGCAGTCGGCTGATCTCGTCAGCTTCATTCTGGAGCTGAAGACCGTCTTGGTAAGGAGGAGGACGACATGGCGCTTAGCACGGTCACTTTGACATTGTTGCTTTATGAATAGGACGCAAATGGAAACCTTCAGGCTCTATCAATAGCCTTGATTGTGCGGCACACGTGCACATGTATATTTTGTTAGATTAATGGAAAGTGTTAGAGCACTGTGTGCCTGCCACCAAACAAAAGCAGGAGACTTATTGGCCCCGGTTCAGTTCTGCTGTACGTCTGTTGTTCAGCAGCAGGATGACCTGAGCTTAAAATAAGAGGCGTTCCCTCTGTCGTTGCAGGAAGTGGGTCTGAAGAGCCGCCCTGACTGCCGCTCCATCCCGCCTCCACAGTATTACTCGCAGCTCATCTCTGAGATGGAGACCCTCGGGTGGGCCAAGTAAGTGTTTGACAGAGAGCCCTAACACTGGACCTGGAGCCAGGGTTTAAAGGAACATAAGCCTCAAAGCCAGCAAAGATTGGCAAAGTTGGCTGTGAGCTCTGACTCTGCACGTCAACGTGACAGATAGATTACCTGTAATGTAAAATACTGTTTGTGGTTGAGGTCGTGTTCGTTGTAGCAGTTACAGACAACTGAAGGCCTTAATTACGTTTTCAGTCTTCGATATATACCAATGTAATGGGGCATCGCGGCCAAAACAACTGAATTATTCAAATCTAATATAAAAACATCAGATATATCGTAGTAGTGTATACAATGAGGAAATCTTTTCTTTTAGTGAACAACGGACAGTTCAACACACGGCAGTGCCAAACTGTCAGTGAGTGTAGTTCACTGGCATTACGGCACTGAATGTTTGATCAACAGTAAATTACTGCTGCAATGCCACAGAATGTACACAGTTGTTTAATTGGCTTACAGTGAGAATCAGATGATGATTGTCTCATAATAAACACTATGATATTGTTGTCACCCCCTCTAACATGGTGCCAGGATGCTCAGACAGTCCGGAGTTGCTCAATGATTCTTTACTTTGTGTAGCGTCTACTGTACACAGTTTGTGGGCCAAAAATAGAAAAGCAACTCACAAGCCAGATAGAGGGAAGAGTTATTATTGAAAGTTATTGGTATAGATTCTTTTGACTTTCATGTTTTTCCCCAGAGGTGAGACTAACATACCGAGGTGTTTATATATATATATATTTATATGGCTAGAATCCTCCACTGCTTTAACCCACTATATGGGGCAGTGCTTGTTTTCCCCCCCAGCAGTCTTACAGTGATTGGAGAGCCCTGCAACAACACAGCTCCACATTAACAAATGGCTCTTAATGACTTCCTTATTTTTAGTTATTGAGTTATAGTTAAATCCAGGTCACATTTAATAACTGTCAGCCCACGTGCAGCGACAGGCCTCGGCTAATACCACCGTCTCCACTTGTCAGGAGAGAAGGAGGAAGGAGGAGGAGGAGGAGGGGGTGGTGGTTAGTAGCAAGATATCTATTCTCCCCAAGCTCGGATTAAGCCTTGACTACTACACTCATTTTCCACTTTCCTATTAATGACCACGGCTACAATTATGATATTAGCAAAATGCAAATGGCTCTAATTGAAGACTCTCAGGTTTTAATAGGAGAAGTGGGGTGGGGAGGGGGGGTGAAGGTATGCTTTATGCTGGAAATGGGACTAACATCATTTTCAGTGTCGTGTTACGGTTAGGAGGCATTATACGCAGTGGGCCTCAATCTCCAAAGCACTCGAGATTCGCTTAGCGTCTTAATTGGTACGGGGCGTGCTAATAGCCACCAGGGGTTTTCAGCTGTAATTCTGTCTGCTGATTGGGCCAGGTAAGTGAGTCTTCTCTCTTCCTCGCTCTCTCTCTATCTCTATCTCGCCGTGTGTCTCCGTTTCTGCATTTTGAGAGTGTGGTCATCTTAATTGGTTGGAGACGGCGTACCGTGTGTTAATTAATGGAAAATGAGGTCAAGTAGGTCAGCCGCCATCACTCGGTGGCCCCGGGAACGTGGCCCTGGAAGCTCTGGGGCTCATTACGGGGCACAGCTGGCGCTCTCACGTACGCAGCCTTCCCTGGCGTACATACGGCGTGTCTCCTGCTCGCAGTGTTATCGCTCTGTCACACTGTTCTTCTGAGGCCTCTATCGGGCCACAAGGACTGAGGGATTAGATGCTTTCTAACATGTTTTCTTTTTTTATTTCATATTTATTTTCTCCCGTTATTAGGCCAGCTAATAAATGACTCCTATAATCATGCGATGTAAATGCAATCACAAACAGTACTGGGATTTACGTCCAGTAAGTAATGGAAATGTCCTGGTTAGCACAGTTAGACTGCAAACCAAGCTAATTAATACAGAGGTGTCTGTGCTTTATGAGATTAGTGTGCTTTATTTATTTATTTATTTATTTATTTGTGCACTTGATATGCACATACATTGTTAGTGTGTTACATCGTCCTCTATTTCCTCCACCATCATTTTGCATGAGAACTACATATGTGTTGATCTCACCGTTCATTAATCACTTTGTCGACACCCACACACACTCACAAAAAAACGAAATCAGAGACATGCGCACACACAAGGAGCACTGACGTGCGTGGTGTGCGCCGTCTGGAAAGAAGCGGCTCACTTGGCTGCAGAGTTGCAAATGGGATGCTCTCATCAGTCTTCCCAGCAGGACGTCTGACTGTCACGCTGTTTCCATCATGGCCAAGTAGGGGCGGCGGCTAGTCCCTGCCATCCTGGGTGTGAGACCTCGGAGGAGGCGAGATGGAAATGTGTGTGTGAGCGATGTACTGACTTTTTCACTCCCGATACTGTTGGGAAAGTGCTGCACATTAAGTTGGTTATTCGATACTGAGCACTGGTTTGACCTCTGTTAATACAGAGTGAAATAAGTGGCATTTCTTCCCATTTATTGTCCTTTTATGCCACCCTTACTTTACTCTATATCCCCCAAATTTATAACAAATTTCCCCCGAGGATCAATAAAGTATTTCTGATTCTGATCATTGAGTAAACTGACTAAGTCACATATTTTATGGATATTTCACATTATATTTGATGCATAGCAATAACAGTAGAGAACAACTCATTAACTGTACAACAGTGAACACTATAACTGCAGGAAATTTGTGTAAAAAGAGAGATTTGAATGAATTCTGAGCATTTTTAGATTATTTCCTGTGAAAATTTCATCACAGATTACTTTTTCTGATATTTTTAGGAACTTTTTATACAACCATAAATACTTAATAGGCTGTTTCTTTGCATTGACAAATTTTGTGTTTTCTTCTCCCTGATACTAGTTCTATTAGCAGTACACAGTGTGCACATTTCTAATGCAGGATGTCAGAGAGTGAAGGCTCCATCAGTATAGACTGTGTTCAGGTCTAGATATTAAATATATACACTTGAAAAATATCAATTTCATTTAGTTTTCTTCACTACTAAGTGTATAAGTTCTCTTAAATTCTGAATTCAGTTCAAACTCAAGAGGTTCCCCAGGTTGGTAGTTAGATGTGAGTCAGACAGCTGCTTCGTATAAAGGCGACAGAAGCTTCTTCGATGCTTTGCAATCAGGGCGTCCTCCATATCCGTAGTTAATGACGTAACATCACTACCTTCGTTTAAAGACAGGTCAATAGGGCATGCAATAGGTTGGGCTGATAGTGGAGCGCCCTTTGCTGGATCACAAGGCAAACTACTTCAAACACATATCGACTGTAACTTAGTATTACTCGTACTATTCGTTTGAATGCAAAATACAATTACACCGCTAGATGGGAGAAATTCCTTTAAATGTCCCTTTAAATCTGTATTGGCCCATTTCCTAGTAGGTGCAGCACTAATGTGGATTCAGTAAGCAGATTTGTGCTGTCAACCCAACTCAATACATACAGTATATTATACATGGTAATACTTATGTAGCTTTTCACATTAAAAGCAGTCTTTATAGTGCTAATGTCCTGCAGGTGGAACAGCGGGCAGTAAAAAATTAATTTAATTCCTTTGAAAAAACATGTTATAATGTCTAATATGTGCAAAAAAAACCCTCATACTGTGTGTTTGCCCATCAGACCTGGTGGCTGCAGAACACAAAGGATACGCAGTGATTTACTCAGGTGTCATGACTGAAGAGGCATTAAAGAGATTTTCCTTTTGAGAGATCCGGCATTCTTTTGATTCATGCACTCTGCAAATCACCTGCACTTTATTTCAACGATTCAACTTCTTATTTATTGATTTGTTCAGTTGGATGCTTGTAACTTCCTCCACTGGCGTAGGTCTATTAACCGGTCTCGCCTGACAGATTTGTGTATGTATTGCTGTTAGCAGTAATGGGTGTTTTATGTCCCTTTTTTGTAAACGTGTACCTGGGTGTTCAGGGGGTTCTGAGCTGCTGCTGGTTCGTTTCGGCCTGTAAATATCCCGTATCGGAGCGTCCCTAAAATGCGGCGTGGTGAGGGGTGTGTGTTACAGGGAGCAGATAGGGCAACTGGTTCGGGAGATTTTAATATGCAGATGGTTTCAGAGATAGAGAGACGGGGGCGGTGAAATTGCGCAGGAGTAGAAATTTATCAGGTCAGCATGCAAGAAAGGGACACAGAGTGAGATCGGTGTGATCAGGATATTGCGTGTTTGAGATGTGTGTTGCCCTTCGCCCGCGTTTGATTGCGAGCGTTTGAGACACTTTTATGAATCTGGCACATCGGACACCGTCTCCCATCGTTCCATCACTTCAAGTGTGTGTGTGTGTGTCATTCCCGAGCACATCACTCCTCTCTCACACACTCCATAAATCCTCAGCAGATATATGGCGGCGTCAGCCTCGCCGCAGAGCGTCCATCGTAACTTACTGTAAATCTGGAGGAGGACTGTCCACATCCTTTGTCTCAGATCGGTCCTTTAGTCTTCAGGTCTCGGTAGACTAGAGAGAGACTCGAGAGGTGGGCTGACTCCTTCATAGTGCAGCAGTAAATCTGACAGCGGCGTTGTTGCAGATCAGAGTTTTGTCCTCAGCTTCAATAGGTTATAATTGGCTGGGGAAGGAGGGGCTCTGATTTACAGGTTGACTCGAGCTTGAAAATGTGAACCCATCCTGAGGTCACCGGGAGACACATCGTTTTGAGAGTTTGAATCCGACTCCTGGAACTGCTGAAGTCCTTGTAGTGTTGGTCTTAAACAGGTTTTACTCAAACAGTGATGTAGACTTTGTTCCTGTCTGCAGTCCGTTGATCAGACGCGTGTCCTGTCAAACCCCTCACTTCACCCAGCCCTTAAAATAAGCATTAAAGCTCGGGATACACCACATGGAGTCTTCTTCAGCTGATAACCAATAATGACCTGCTTTATTATGGCTGATGGTTTGTTACACAGAACCATCCTGGACAACATCAATGGAAACTGTTTGGGAAAGGGTAAAGCAATGATGGGAGGATAAAGCAAACGACTCGGACAGCACTTCTTCAGCGTGTGTTCTGATTATATTACCATAGGTTTACACAACGCATTAACAGGGTTTTTCTTATCAGATACGCCGCACTTCATTATTAATTGATTTGTTGATCATTTTCTCAATTAAAAGATTAGTTGTTCCCTGAAGCCCAAGGTGACGTCCTCAAATGTCTTGTTTTGTCCAGAATCCAAAGATGTTCAGTTTTCTGTCGTAGAGGACGAAAGACAGCAGAAAATATTCACACTGGAGAAGCTGAAATCAGAGAATTTGGACCTTTTTTTTGTTAAAAAAAGATTAACTGATCAGAAACAACTAATGTATGCAGCTCCAGTTGATACCAGCTGTAAGTTTGGTCTTAATATAAATGAATTTTGGTGTCAGAGTTCTTTTGATTCTGCCACATTTTATTTTACGTTTGATATGAAAATTATTTTACAAAAGGCAAAATCTGCTTTTGTTGCTCCTGACAGCCAATATTTCTAGGTTACATGCTCACAAATCCCAGCATTCATCTGTAGAATTTCACTTTTAGGCAAACAAGAGACAGAAATATTTGCTTAAAACCCGAACCAGTCAAACTGTTTCAGGGTAAGCAGCTTTTGAAGGCAGTTACAGCAGTAGGGAACTGTGGGAGAAGGTATTGAAAGGGTTAGGGTTTTATGTTTCTTTTGAATTGTTACATAAATATCAAATATATTTCCGTTCATCACAATTATTCTTTGTTATTTTATCACGTCATGAAACGTGCTCTCCCTGCATCAGTCTGGTGAGGGGAGTCTTTGCTTCCAGTTTTATTATAAAGCATAAAAACCAGGATGTTTCTATGGTGACTCAGCATGAAAATAATGCTCTCAGCCTCAGGATTTCTTACATTCCTCCATTAGAGCATTAAAGAGGCACTTTCTGGAGAAGAATACAAATGAGAATTTAGAGAAGCCTGTAGTTAATGTGGAGCAGTAGCCTGATGTAATGTCACTGTGTCGGTGGCCGCAGTGATAAATCTGAAGGCACAGTTGATGTCTCAATATTGCTCTCTGCAGCCGTGATTAACGGCGGATGATGGCTGCTGTCAGTTTACAGAATTATGTGTTACCCTTCTCTGTGAATGGGTTTTGATTGATTGCGTATGTATTGTGTGTGCGTCCATCTTCAGGCTGCTCTCCATCGACACCGAGTTCCAAACGCTGAGACTGAAGGCGGAGGACTCCTCTGGAAGGCAGCACGTCCTTACTGTTAAACTCAAGTCTAAGGTAAGACGCACTCCCTCTCTCTCACTCAGTTCACTGTGAGAGGATCGTTTTCACACTGGAAATTATTCATCATCAGATGGAATAGCTCGACCTACAGCCCATCCAAATCCAAACAGGCCGACTTCACCGAACGCGTACGGGGCGTTCAATTTGCTGATAGCAAATCAGTGATTTACATCTGCGCCCCTAAATCTAGGTCAAACTGGAGAGGGTGTGGAGAGACATGATAACCCGCTGTGACTGAGATGTAGCACAGATAAAACATCTCCACACAGACCTCTGCATGATGGAGCACAGAGAAAACCAATACACCCACACTCATCTGCATAGCTGCTGCCTCCTGTACCTGCTGTAGGTAAAAGGTGAATGTAGGCTGCTGAAAAAGCTAAATCTGCTCCAAATTGCCAGATAAGAGGTGAGTGTTTAATGGTCAATGGTTTGGGCTGATTTTAGTGCTGAATTGTAGATTAGAGTGTGTACAACTTTTTCCATTCTCCGTCTCCAATCTGATCATTTTGAATGACTCTTAAGATGTCTAAAAGGCTCAAGGCCCCGTTATAAGAACCACTACTCTAAAAGGAGGTTATTGCATTGTGTTAACCTGTAAAAAAATCAGTTATCACAATGTTGTACTCGCCAGAGATCTGAGAACAAAGCGACGTTGCTACAGCAAAGTCTGAGAGTCTGAGTCTGAGAGAGTTTTGCAAAATATAAAACCATCATTGATAAGTTGGAGTTTCAGGTAAAGTTGTCAAAAGTATGGCTACTCTTTTACTGCCAGGTGTTTAGAACAAGACGATCTCTGTTACTTATGTAAAGCAGATCTACAATCAGAACAACGCCATCTGCATTGATTAACTAGTGGACAATCTGGCAACATCTTTACAAATGACACTTCCCCTTATAGTGTATTTGGCAGCCAACAGATCCCTATTTTGAACCCAGAAATGTTAGAAATGTACAGTATGGGCCTCCATAACCTCAAAATGAATCAAAATCAGCCCAGGGGAGTTGAAATATGGCTTCTTCTGTGTCCTCAATAACCCTATATTGTTCATATAGATGATTATTTATGCTAATTGCAAGTTAGCATCTGTCAGTTTCAATTAACTTGGAGTTTAAAATGTTACTTTTAGTGATGGAAATGATGACCAAAGCTAAAAAATGAAACCAAAAAATTTATTTCAGGGTCTATAATGATGTACAGTATATTTCCTGACTTCATAAATCTGAGAAAACTTCTTATTACAAGATCAAATCTTGCATGTTCATGTTTTCCCAGTGTGACAGGAAACTGGAGGTTTAGTGGTTGTAAAATGTGAGAACATTTGCAGTGAATTGTGGGTAAAGTGTAGGAGCTGGCAGGGCTGTAAGCATCTCACAGCGGGGTGGCGTATTGGAGGCACGGTGAGGGAGTGGCACGGTGAGGTGGTGCTTACCTAAGCCCAGATGACATCCACCGGGGACAGAGGAGGGTGGTGGGACCCCACTCTGCGCCCACCTGCCCACCTGGCCCTCCTCGCCCCTCTTTGGCACCGGGTAAAAATAGCTCCCCGCGTTCCAGCTGCTTCCGCCAGATCCAGCGCCAGGTCATCCCTCACCAGGCACAGTTAGGGAGGAGGCAGCACTGGCACGGACACACGGAGGCTTGGATGGCAGGCGGGAGTGAGGGAGGGAGGAAGGGAGAGCGTGGGGAAAAGGACGGAAAGTAGTTTGATGTTGAAGGTGAACAGAGAGAGGAAATGTGAAAACCACAAACTACTGTGGATCACCGAAACTCGGGGTCACAAAGGTCGACAGAGAAAGACGCATCTTCACATTTCGTATATTATGAGAGGAAATCAAGACTGTGGTACAATTAGCTTTTTACATTTAAATAAAGTCTTAACACTTTAAGAGAACTCAGTATGTTTATGTGTTTTTTCCTTTTTTGTTTACTGATTTTTTTCTGTATTATTTAAATACATGGAAATATATATCCCTGTGAATTTACATATCTAATGTAAAATAAGGTGAAAAATCTGTAACTGTAAATTATTAGAAAATGTCCTTTTCTTAACATAAAACGTTAGAATACATTTGCAAATCTATAATCTGTATTAACTGTTTATTAAATAGATTAAACTGTTAATACTGTTGATACATTTCTAAAATTATGTAAATCAATGACAGTAACGGTAAAAAAAAAGCATTTCTGTAATTTTACATGGATTTGTTTGTTAATTGACAGATATCTTGTACAATTATGTTAGTTTTCATCACAAAAACATTGAATAAATGTTTTTTATCAGTGTATAAGCATTGGTAAACTGTCAAAATACAGTTTTTATCAGTGAAAAACAATAATTACTGTAATTTCACACATGACTACAATGATTACAGTCATATAACTTTTAAAATTCAGATTAAAATAAGAAAAATCCAATAATAACAGCACTCTTCTGTCAATTTAAGCCAGATTATTTGCATTATAGCAGTGTTTGCCTGTATTTATAGGTCATTGCATTGTTTTTACAGTGTAAAAATCTATCTAAAAAGAACATTTTCACACGATTTTATGTAAAATTAAAGCTAAAATCTGTATTTTAATTATAGTTCAGTTATTTTACAGTATTTGTTTGATGCCCAGCTGCTGGAATATTACCGTTCTGTACATAACAGTCCTGTCTTTAACACCCACAGCACCCTGCAGAGGCCCCCGAATGCTCAGCTGACCTGCCGATCCCGCTGGTCATAACCTGGACACCACAGGTATGTTCATGTGCACAGATACCAAAACTACTTCTCTGTCTCTGAATTGAATTTCTGTTTAACATTTGATAAAAACAGGTGTTTTTTGTCTCAGCGTTGATAGAAAATATACATTCAAAAACATAAACTAAATAAAAAATTTAAGCTGAAGTATTTTACAAATCAAAACCTGTTTTATTTAATACAAATGAATCAAAAAAAAAAAAACTGATACCACAAGAATTAACATTGACCTCAAAAAAACTTTATTAATGTTTAATTCAATGTTCAAATATTTCAAGTATGAAAATGGTCAGCCAGCTCGCTGCTGTTTTTAATGATTAACCTTCATGTCGTGCAGCTTGTGTCTGTATGCATTCTCACATCATCATTTCAGACGAGGTCCGCTGTGATTAAATCCCTAAAATGGCACTTAAATGTTCAATTAAAAAAAATCACTAATGTCCTCAGGATGTCGCATTTTTTAACTTCTGTTAATAACTTCAGCAATGTACCACTCGTCCATTCAGAGTCCGAAAGCTCCTGAATTTCTCAGTTGTATGTGGAAGATTATGAAAAAACTGCCCTAGAGATGCTGCTGTGGCTCTAATGCAGCCGTAATGCAGTAAGTTAAATGACCTCTGCATCTAAAAACCTCTCAGCAAATAAAAAAAATGAAAGAAGAGTATCACACCGGAGTGGCAGACGGACCCAACGTTCACAACAGCATGAATACAGCTGCTGGTAGTCAGAGCTAACGAAGCTAACAGAGCTAACCAGCCGTGAGCAGCTGCTGTCAGACTCTCTATATCCACACTGCAAACACACAGTCCGCTGGAGCTTGTACAGTCACTAGAAGCACGTTCACGCCGTTTGTAAAAGTTTCTGTAAGTGTTGTAACGTTAGCCAAGCTAGCAGCTCAGAGAGTCTAACGCTCCGGTGTCAGTCTGCAGAGTGGAGATGTTGGTTTTATAGGAGCAATCAGCCAATAGAAACATTCAATCTCTGGTTTCAACCAGTCGAGCACGGTCACTGATTCAGCTTTCAGCAGAGAGAAGTGTAGCATGTATGTGAGTGTAGTTAAGAAAACAGTCTTTGTTCAGGAGCTCAGCAGATGGAGTCTGCCCGTTTCAAAATTCTATTTTGTTAAAGACTTGAAGGACTCAGCTTAAGAGCTGAGGTTCATCCTTGACCTCGGAGACCTCAGCAGTAAAGATGGATGCTATTTCCTTCCTTTTAGAGCAATCTGGTAAATTATGCTTTCCATAATAATGGTCGACCAACCCAAAGAAAAAAATGATATTCTACTGAATTGCTGTATTATTTATGTGCTGACCCTACTTAGAATCACATTGAGTTTCATGATGGCAGACGTTGGCTCTTCCTCTCTCAGGCTGCATAAAGGGACGGTTGTTGAAAGGGAGTTCAGTCGGAGCAAGAGCTTGACAATGCAGTCCGATAAAGATGAGATTTTAGAGGGACGTTATTACCGATATGATCTGGGATGAAACCTTTTCTCAGAAGGCTGCTTTCTTAAACAACTTCAAGTTAAATCATTTAACAATGTGTATGTTACCACCAGTTCTGGTCGACGTTGCTGAGAGCTGCTTCTTCTCTCCCACTCTGTGCTGTTTGCGACGGGATTGTAAATCACAGCGCCCTCTTGTGGATGAGCTGCAGTGACGACAATACATTGCCACAAGCTAATTGTTGTGCATTATAATCCGGATGACCAATACACACAGGACACAGCTTAGAGTGGTTTTAGTCAGAGAATTAAACTGAAAGTGTGAAAGTGTGAAGCTCCTCCCAGTATAAATGACGCACCAGTGACATAACTGTAACCTCGTCCCGTGATTTATCTTCCAATAAACACACAGCTCCTTATCCATTATATGTACTGTATGTTTCACACGCTGCGTTTATAAAAGATCACGGTTATGTTGTGAGAATCTGTCAGATGCTTTTGATATTTCTCAGATTTAATGTTTTGTGACATTTTGATGCCTCAAAACTGTGAGTAACACAAACGCACTTCCTTTATTGCATAATTCACCTGCAGCATGAAGACATTTCCTTTCAGCCCCTCAGATGTAGTCCACGATAATTGGCGTGTTTTGATGTTAAAAAAAACCAGCTGTGCGCTCTTTGTATCTCGTTATTGTTGTTCGCCACGTTGCTTCTTTCACCCACGACTCTCATAAAAACTGCTGCTCCGTATCTGAGCGCCGCATTGGACCTCAAATATATAACAGGAGTGAGTGAGTGAGTGACGGTGTAAGCACAAATCGGGGAGAGGAGAGAATCTGAGCAGAGAGATGCTAATTCTTGTGTGTGTGTCTGTGTGAGTGTGAGTGTGTGTGAGTGTGTGTGGTGTTGAGCTGATACATGGCAGGCGTACAGTGAGGACCAGCTTAGAACAGCGCTACCGTATGGAGCCTGTCTGCCTGCTGGGCCGTTGATGGATCTCTCCTCCGCTGCAACATGAAGTGTGTGTATACGTTTGTGTATGTGCTTGCATCTGTGCCAAGTGTGTGTTTTGTGTTGTTTGTGTGTGTGTGTGTGTGTGTGTGTGTGGCGGGGGGAAGGGCCTGTCTGTCGGCAGTCCTGACATGTTCATTTGAATGAGTAATTATTGCCTGCTCTGTTGCAGGGCCAAGACATGCCACTCTGTGCATTTGTGTGGAACAAGAATGGGAAGAGAAATAAAACCTCTCTGTCTGTGTGTGTGTGTGTGTGTGTGTGTGTGTGTGTGTGTGTGTGTGTGTGTGTGTGTGTGTGCTTGCAGAATACACAAAGGTGATTTTTAACAACCAAAACCTGCATGAATTAAGACGATCAGAAATTCAGTGCGAATAAAAATGTGAAAGTGAGTGTGGACAGTTGCAGCAGCTGTTTTTAAGGACTAACGTAGCATATTTTTTATAACTTTATTAAGAAAACATACATTGAATGAATCAGTGGATTCCAACTTGGGGGTTGGGACCCCCACTAGGGGTCGCCAAAGCTTCATTGGGGGTCGTGAGGCCTTCTTGGTTTAAAGATGTTTAAAAAAACATTAAAATATACACAGTAGGCCGATTTTATAAAACACTGAAATCGTCAAAAAGACGTTTATCAAGTCTGTATGATTTTAAAACTGTTAAAAAAAAATAAAACATTAATAAATAAATACAGACCGAGAATTGTATAAAAAGTTCCCTAAATAGGAAATATCTGCTCAGGAGTTCACTGTTTAGGGTTCATTGTACAGTTTTAAATATAATATGAAATATCCATAAAATATGTCACTGAGTTGGTTTACCGACTGATAGAAAAAGGGTCCCTTAAGTAAAAAGGTTGGTTTGCTCTTTATTGTATACTTCATATAATGAAATATTTGTAGGGGTGTAAATCTCTCTTTTTTAAGAAAATTTAAAACGTATCCAAAAACCCTGGGTTAAAAATTAATTAAGGAAAATTTAAAAAAAAAAAAAAAAAAAAAAGTAACATTTTTTAATGTGTATTTATAATATTGCTTGTATAAAAGTGACATTGTTTACCTTTAAATAAATACATTGTAAAAAAAGGAAAGGTTTTTTTAGGAAAAAACAAAAAAAATTTTTGTGTTTTTTTAGCTTTGTGTTTAGTACTTATTACACAGACTTCCTTCCTCGCCTTGGGGGCACAGGTGTCACCTGGAAAGTGTTTTATATCCTGCATGTTGTTGCTCGTGCTAGCTGTGTTGAATCCACAGACTCCTCCTCGCCTGCACAGATTTCACCGTGCCGTGTTCAGATCTGTCGCGCTACCAGCAGATCTTACAAATGGACAGACTTTAGTCCAACTTTCCTTCTTATAGAATCCAAATGTCTTCTGGACTTTAGATTTCAGATCTGACGATGCACTGTACATCCTGTCAGTGTTGTTGGCGAGCCACGCAGCGCTAACATTAGTCTCGTCGCTCTTAAAACACATAGATAGATGAGACAACCATGTTTCCCATCATAAAACGGCAGATTAAGTGAAACATGCATAGGATAAAAGTCTGTTGAGATTTTACAACAATGAACAAATAATTCATCTTTTATCAGAAGCTGCTCGGTGAGAAAAAAAGCTTAGAAACAGTAAAGTTTAATAGCGTCCATGTAAAGAGTGAATTCTTTCAGCCCGGCTGCTTTTAAAGAGCTAAATTGAGGTCAGTCAGAGATAGCATAAATAGATAATATCTCAGCTCAGATTCAGTCTCTTTCATGCCTTCTTCCAGCCGTCCGCTCTCACTCATGTTCTCCTCACAGATACAGCAGGAATTCAATTACCAGCTCTTCTTCATTTCTTTTTTTTCTTTCTTTCTTTCTGAACTGGGCCTAGCGTAGTTATCCTGAGCTGTAACCGTAATCATGCCACTGGCATTAATTGGGCTGTAATTGCCGAGGCTCTCAGCACCTGGACGATGCTTAATTGTGTGCACTGTGCTGGCACAATGACCCATAATTTTTGGTTCATTTTTTCCTCTAATTTTTTCCCTCTCATTCCATCTGTATTGCTCTCCGACACCTCTATCAGCCTCCCTTTCTCTTCTCTACTGTACGTGTGTGTGTATGTGTGTGTCTGTGCCTTTTAAGTTGTTACAGTTTAGTTTTTACCAACTGGTCAATTGCTGTCTGCACTCTCAGTTCACTCCAGTTGCCTCAAATGAGATGAAACACTCAGATTTACAGCGTCTCAGTGTGATATTTCCATCTCATCATAAACTAATAATAATAATAATGTTTCCATGCTGGGAGCAACTGCGACCCTGTCGTCACACATCGGTTTGTGGAGAACTGTTCTTAAGCCTCCAGTTGTGTTCGTCTCCGTGAAAGTTTGTTGGAGCCGAAGGAGGTAACGTACTGCGAGTTGAACTGCTCTCATTGGATGCTCAGTAAAAGCAGGAAACAATCGCAGCTCACCTGGTCACACACAATCTTTTATTCCAGATAAACAGTAAAATATGTTTGTGAACAGATTTGAGGAGAGAAATAGTCAACGCAGTAACAGAATCTGGATCCATATCTGATCAGAACTGCCTAGTTTGACAGTTTGATCTGAGTTTGGTTTGTCAATCACAAGGTAGCCCCGCCCTAAAGCATACCCTGCTTTATGGTCTGTTTTACTCTAAATGGGACCATCAGTTACTAAATGAACATCATGCTGTATGGAAGAAGACTGAAACTAGAGACTGAGACCAGAACATCACCAGGAAACTGTTATCTGAGCTCATAAATCAACTGAGAAGTCGGCTCATTTCTCCATAAGACTGAATGGTATCAGTTTATAGTGCAGCCAGTGAAGCTCCTTTTAAACTTCGGGATGAATTGAGAACTGGTATCTGTGTGCTATTAAAGTACTGTAATCTGTACAAGGAGAGAAAACTTCAACTATTTACCAATTATTATAAATCAGATTGACTTTCTGTCCGTCAATGAGTCGACTTACTGTTTCAGCTGTACCTCACTGTGAGTTCACTGTATGTAAATCCAGATTCCTTCAGTATTTCACTTCTCTCTGCCTCCTAATCTCACATTATAATAAAGTTTAAAGTTTGGCTCAAATTTGAACCAATATTTTGTAAAACATACCTATTTATTTTGAGCAGGGGAAAACACCGTACCGTACTGTAGTGCACTGTAATGCTAAGCTAACAACATCGTGTTCATTAACCATTTATACACACCTTTTTTTTATATCTCATTTCGTAGAGCACTCTGGACCAGCTCCACAGCCAGTTCCTGCTGCTGCTGGAGTCCCTGACAGAGTTCTGGGACGTCCTGGACGAGATCGACAGCAAGACCTGGATTCTGGAGCCGGAAAAACCCAGCCGCTCCGACACCACGAGGCGTATCGCCATCGGTACCGTACACACGAAGGTCCGGCGGTTCATACGTAATCAGCCCGTACGGTAACACAGCTAACTTCAGTCCTGTCTGTGTGTGCAGGGAACAACGTGTCCATCAAAGTGCAGGTGGATCCCAGACACCCCAAGATGCTGCCAGAGTGCTGCCTGCTGGGAGCCGAGCACGGTGGGTAGAACCCCAGAGACACAGCAGGAAGTGGATCCGCACTAATGCACACCTGAAGCTCACTCTGTATTCTCTCTCCTCGGTCCGTCGACTGAGACTCTTAACTCAACTAATGGTTAAGTCGACTATTAGGGAACAGCCTTAAAAATAAATGAAATGCTAATTGCTTTATTAACCTAGCATGTGACACAGTAGAATTTAGTCTTTCTGATTTCCAGAAGTCTAACACTAGAATTTTTAAAATGTGGCCCAATTTCTGTCTTAATTAACACTGAAAATTACATTATTATGTATATTATTGATTTCATTCATTAAGGTTTTTTTTTTATGATAATACTAAGAAACAAATATTTTAAGGTACAGTGTGCAGGATTTATTGGCACGTAGCGGTGATTGAACAAATGCCCCTATAGAGAGCCAGTGTTTGTCCTTATTGTAAAGTAACAAACATAATGACTCGTACATTCAGGTGATTAAAACATACCTATGAATATTATATTCTATTTCTGACAATAGATCCTCCTCAGTGTTACACACTGGACCTTTCAGTCTCAGCAACAAGCAGCACAAGTCTCGAGGCTGGAACGTTTCCCAGTGCACAGACTGCTGTTTCTCTTTTTTAAAGGAGAAAAGTGAGAAGCAGCAAATTTGAGCAGCTCCAACATGCAGATGTTTGTCAGGAATCCATCAATATAACAGACAAATGAACCAGTGAATGGTTTCCTCACTGACTCTTCATGAGGTTGGTGTCACTGCAGTCAGCTGAGGATCAGCGCAGGCAATAAAGTACAAATCCCGCCTGCGCCCGCCATTATTCTGATCAGACCAGCGAGGAGCCATCAGGCGCGGATGAATCTCCACATCTCGACTTCAGCCTGTGTTGACTGTTGTCTGTCGCCGTGTCAGAGGACTCGCTTCCAGAATGGCACGTTTTCATTCTCACCACGCCAACGCCCGGGGGCCAGCCGACGAGCCTCAGGCTTCGGCTTTCTATTTAAGTTCCTATCAATTGTCGGCCATTGTTTCTGTAAACCCAAGGTCATGCGACTCCTAGCCTGTTGCCTAGCAATGCAACTCAAAAGATATTAAACACACGCACACTTCAGCCGCCCAGACGGGGGGCGGGCGGCAACCCTCAAATACGAGGGGTCGCACAGAAATATTGCTTTTTGCATGTAGGAATAACAAATAGTGAGAGTGATGAGCGCTGCACGGAGACAAAGCTCCCCTGTGGAACAGAGGAAGCAATGATGGCTCATATCTGACAGCGCTGCCGCCGCCGTCTGCAGCAGGCCGGGCTGTTGTCAAATAACAGGCGGCGTTTGAGGGTATGCAGAGTGTGTTTTTAAGACAGTCTAATTTCTGAGGGCTTATGTACAATAACAGTGGATGTGCAGCTGCCTGAATGTGACTTTTATTAGTAGTTTATGTCTCTTGTTGTTGCAGTGGTGACTCCGCTGAGGAATAAACTGAACGCCAACATGCAGCTGTGGTAAGATTCTCTGCTTCAGAAAGGCTTTCACTGGGTGGTGAGCCAACAGAAGCATTTATTGATGATGATATCCGTATTATTATTTCCCAGTTAATAGGTTAGAACATTTTATTTGTACCCACAGGTAGATTTGGTTCACGGTAAAAGACATTCCTCCGTACAAAAATGTAAAAACAACAACCATCTCAGAGCAGTTTCTATCAGTGAGTAAACTGACGACCCTGCGGGGTTCCCACAGTCCTGGACAACCTGGAGATGTAGAGACCAGTTTTCCAAAAATCCTGGAAATAATCTAAGTTTTCCTGGAGACTTTCAGTGTGTTTCTTCTCGTTGTTCGATTAGCTCTTTGGTCAGGACGCCCACCAGGGGTCGCCAAAGATTCACAGGGGGTTGCAAGGCCTTCTTGATTTTAAGGGGAGTAACAAAACGTTAAAAATATACACAGTAGGCCGAAATCTCAACATTGTGTTCATTTCTCTAATGAAAAATAAATGTTTAGATTATTAGGATCTAAACTGTGAAGAGAGTATATTCACAGAGCTTCAGTCTCTGATCAACAGCCTCAATCTGCATCAAAGAACAATGAGAAGAAAAGACTGAATCTGTCAGAAAAGAAGAATATTAAGTCTGTATGATTGTTAAAAAACAGAAAACAGACAGAATTATATTAAAGGTTCCTTAAAAATATTGTACTGTTATTCTTACGCATTCAATATAATATGAAATATCCATAAAATCACTTATTCAGTTTACTCCATAATGGAATAATTATCCTGTGAGATTTCTATTTTATATCTAAAATAACAATCCAAACTTTAAATGTCAAATTAATTAAAATTTCTTTATGGAAATAAGTTAATTCTTACTCCCCTTTAAATCAAGAAGGCCATGTGACCCCCTGGGCTTTGGCAACATGATACAAACATGATAAAGATAAAAGTGCTCCAGGCTCTAAGAATCAGACTTAGGAACATAAAGTCAATATTTTGATGAAGAATCCTTTTTTCTGTCACATTGGCGGAAATGGGCTTCCATAGTTTCCAGTGGTGGCTAATAATAATAATAATAATAATAATAATAATAATAATAATAATGATGATGATGATGATGATGATAATGATGATAATAATAATAATAGTAATGATGATGATAATGATGATAATGATAATGTTACCGGCAGATATCCAAATTAAGGTATCTGATTGGAACTGAAAAGGGTAGATTTCTATAAAAACAAAGGTGAATCATTGATCAGCCTGTGAAGGTAATCTGATCATTTACTTTGCTGTTCAGGTCTAATGCAGTAAGGTCAGGATCAGCTCGTTGCTGGTTTTGGTCTTTCTGTGGTTTCTGATGAGTCTGATTGTCACTCAGGAAGAAAACCCCACACAATTACGCTTCATTTTAACATAAAGTACAGATTTAAAATTTCACCACAGGTTTTAACATCATCCTCCCTGCAGGAGACTCGCCGTCTCCCTCCACCCGTTCAGTCTGAAGCAGCAGAAAGACTATTTTTTTTTAATTTTTTTTTTTTTTATATATACGAATGGTGAAAGTCTCCTAATCATCCCCCAGTGTCTTTGCAGGCTCATTTGCATGTGGTTAATTAGTGTGTGAAGGAGCTGTCTGTGGTCTGCTGGCAGGAACCCGGACTCCAGCGTCTTGCACAACCTCCGGGATGTTTTGGAGATCGAATTCCCGTCACCTGCCACCCACGAAAAATCTGTATGTCACACAGTTGCCCCCTTTTCCATTTCAAACATGTCTGTTCCCATCACCATTACCTCAAGGACTGTGTGTGTGTGTGTGTGTTTACATGTATGCACTCCTGTTTGTGTGTCTGTTTGAGCTTCAAGTTATAAGGGGGCGGACGTACGCCATCGCCTATTTTTCCATATTCCTCTCTCTCTCTCTGTGTGTTGTTTTCCATGAGGTGGGCACAAACTCTCTTTAATTGGGTTGTTTACAGAAAAGATCATTAGAATAACAAAGATGGCAGAATTCTCAGCACCATCAAATCGCTTTAATCACGCAAAAAAACCCATTTATCTCCCTTTTTTTTTAAACACTCGTTCTTTCCCCTCCTCTCTCCACGGATGGGTTAAAAGGGCGGCGTGTTTATCCGCTGTCGCCGCGGTGATTAATGCCTCGCCTTCATTAACATTCAGAGGAGTGCAAAAAAGTTGAGTTGACCAGATGTTGATTTTTTTTTTTTTTTTTTACCTGCCATCGTCTCTTAATGGATCGCCCCGGAAAAACAGGAGCTTCTCATTACAGCGAAATGCAAACGAGAGGAGGAGAGAGAGAGAGAGAGAGAGAGAGGGGGGGGGGGGGGGGGGGGGGAGAGAGAGAGAGAGAGCGAGAGAGAGAGAGAGAGAGAGAGAGAGAGAGAGAGAGAGGTTGTTTAACACTAAGTGGTTACAGAAGCTCGGCCCAAATCTTAAGCTTTATTTGTGTGTGTGTGTGTGCGTGTGCAGAGTTTCAGCGTGGAGTGTGGGATCTGTTACTCCTACCGTCTTGAAGCTGCGATCCCTGATCAGGTGTGTAACGACCCTCGCTGTGGACAACCCTTCCACCAGGCCTGTCTGTATGAGGTATGAACACACACACACACACACACAGAGAGAGAGAGAGAGAGAGAGAGAGAGAGAGATCCTCTTCTTCATCAGGAGGCGGCAATAACTCAAAGTTATGACGGTGAACAGACCGAGGGGTCGTTGTTATTAGGGCCCGAGCACTGACCAGTGAAAGGCCCTATTGTAATTGTAGGAATTCTTATTTTTCTGCCCCTTCGACCTCATGTTTGGCGGTTGCAACATGCTTGAGAACTCGATGTATGAAATTGTCCCGCGTGCATGGGCGGCGCCAAGTGGCTAAGCCCCCCCCAAATCAGCCCTCAAGATGCGTAAGGTCGACACGTACGAAAATCGGTACGCATGTGTATCGTGATTAAAAAAAGCAGGAAAGCCTCTTGGACCCATACCTCAAATTTAATAGGAAGTCAACCATTTTGGATTTAGCTGCCATTACTGGCGATTTGCACACGTTGTATTTGAACAAACTCCTCCTAGGGAATTTATCGGATCGACTCCACACTTGGACACAGCCATCTAAACACATTCACCATTAAAAGTTGTGCTATTTACGTTATTCCGTCGAACAGCGTGCAGGTGGCGTGGCGTCCCGTGGCGTGCAGTTTCCATCCTTCGCCATAAAAAAGGGGGTTTTCAAAACATTTAAGAAAAAAAAAAAACTGAGGAAACTTCACACGTTCGTAGAGTCCGCCCTGAACACTCTTGTGATAATATTCAGTAATAGGAGAGCTAATGGCAAGGTTTGATTTACGTCATAATCTTCATGCGTACATGATCGCGGCCTGACAGCACGGACGGCCCGACACAACACGTTGGCAGCGAGGTCCCCTTAATGCTGCTTCACACGTTTTTTTGAACCCATAAAACCATAAAAGATGGACGTCTCCACCTGAACAAACATCAGTGAGATAAGAACGACCTAAAACCATCTTCGACTTTTTTAGTTCGTCCCATTTGCTAACTTGGAGGCAGCAGGCTTTATAAGCTCTACTGACATGTATTTATGTAGACATGTTGGAAAGAGTCTGCTTGGAACAATAACCGTCCTGGAAAACCTGGAAATTTAGAGACTAGTTTTCCAGTCTTGGAAACATCTGGAAATTGATTAAAATGACTAAATATCCTGGAAATAATATCTGTTGTCCTGGAAACTACTACAACTACTTCAAACTCTACTTAAATCCTCCACACTGAACCTTTAATTAGACAAACTGCTGACGAGGGTTACAATATAACATCATGACGGATTGATTGATCTGGTGTTAATTTTCTTAATAATTGGTTCATAAAATGTAAATAATACTGAAACTGTCAGAGTTAATGTTAAAAGTGCTGCTTTTGTTGAATTACAGGACAAAACTCAATATATTTAAATTCTTCCTCGTCAGAAATCAGTGTTTCCTCTTCAGGGTTCCCGCTCTTTTCAAGAAATCCTTTTCCGGGAGGTTTTCTGTCAATTGAAGTTTATGTTTTCTGGATATTAATCAGCGGTCTGAAGGACTGTTGACAGATTTCTGTAGTTCGCAAACATCTTCTCATTTTGCTAGAACTAGATTTGTTTTATTGGATCAATACTCCATATTGGCTGATATCCTGGATTTGGATCCCTATTCCAAATCCATATCACATAGTTATGGAGGCTGATTTCTGCCAATGTGAGGGAAAAAGAAAAGATTCTCAATGTTTTGACTTCATATCACAAAGTCATTATTTTAAGAGATTTATTTGTATTCTTTCCGTCACATTGGCAGTAATAGGCTTCCATACATTGTACGTTGTCACAATCAGCAGCTTTACTGTATTATTGTTTGTAAGAAAACTCACTGAATGATCCACAACCCCGCAATGATTGTGCAAAATATTTATTTGGTGTGTTTGAGTAAAATAATACAGCAACATGACTCATCTGAATGCAGACAGTGAATTTCATTCATTAACAGATAAAAATGAATCAGCTCAAAGACAGAAACGTGTTGCTGCTGTAAAGTTGAAGTGATGTTTCAGATGTTTTCAGTGCTGATGGACTGTTTAAACGCACATTAATGTTCCACCATTATTCCAAATATGACAATATTCATATATTGTCATATTTGCCCCGTGCTGGTAGTGTTTAAACTCCCTCTGTCCTGGTACAGTCAGCTAATAGATGCTAACTAGTTAATAGCAGCTAGTACAGTTAAAATATGGTTACAGGAGAAAAGGTTGATGATGTTTTTGTGTTTTTCTGCGGCCGTCAGTCACTGAGGAGTCGCACTGCTCACTGGGGGGAAGCCCTAGTAGGAATATTGTCTTTTTTTGGAATAAGGGCAAAAACAGGAATATTGTGTGCATGTAAACGTAGTTTGATGACACACACAGAGGAAACAAGCTCCCTCTGCCTCTCTATACCCTCCGTGTCCACACACACACACACACACACATCTCCTTTTAAAGCCAGATTAGAAGAAGCGGCAGGAGGAAGCTGAACAGTTCCACATAAAAGCTCCTGAATGTAGCTCTGAAGTGTGCGTCGGATCCAAGCTATTCATTTGAGTCTCCCCCTTCCTCCCTCCAGTGGCTGCGGGCGCTCCCCTCCAGCAGGCAGAGCTTCAGCATTGTGTTTGGAGAGTGTCCTTACTGCAGCAAGGTACGTGTGCACCTCGCACTGACTGACCGCCGCCAATAAAGCAACTGTAATAATCCATTCTCCTTCTGTTCCAGCCCATCACGGTGAAAATGGCGGCCCAGAAGTCCTGAGAAGTGGCTCCGCCTCCAAATCAGGGAACAAACAGACTGGTTTTTATGTTTTCCTCAGTGATTTAAATTGGCTCCAAAAGCGGTGCCCAAGACGAAGAAGACGCCCGCGCAGACGAACCAGCTCAACAGTCCGTTCTTCTGCGTGGGGCCAGCTTCCTGTTCTGGACTCCGCCCACTGGAGCTGCTCTCGTACGACTGGCGGCGACTGTAGAGGAGCGGCCTCTCATCCCATCTTCCCCTGAACTCCGGGTGCACTTGGTCGCAGTCTGGTTTTCTCCTCTGCGGGCGGACTTCCTGTCTCTCTGAGGTCACCGTGAAGTTGTTTGACTTCCTGGCGTTCCTCGTGGGTTCACCTTTCTGTTGAAGAGGGCGATTCACGTGCTGGCTCTTTTATGTGAATAAACTGAATATTGTGAGAGATGACTGTGTATTTCTTTACAACAACAGGAAGAGAGAAGGTTTGAAAACATCTTTATAAAGATCTACTGACAATAAATATTTGTGTTTGTTCTATAGCGCCATTAATGCACACGACATGACGTCATACAGTCATGTGGCCGCTTTAGTATCTTGTCCTCACACCTGTTTGGACGGAGCTCTGGGGCCTATTGGAGGGCCTCTCAGGTAGCATGCAGGAATAGGTCTGGGTCTGGCCTCATCCTCATCATCCTCATCCTCCTCCTCCTCCTCCTCTTCACTGTCATCTTCTTCATACTGGAAACAGAAAGCAGACAGTTTTTAATGTGTTTTGGGGAAAGTACTGATCGTACTGTGACTACGAACCCTCACGTCTCTTCATATCCTTCGTACTCTTTCTGCCAGTCTAGACTGTTAAAGTATTAAAAAGTTACATTCAACCTGCAGAAACCCTGTTAGAGTTGTTCCAGTTGTGTACCTGAGGTTTAGCGAGGGGGGGTCCTCTTATGTAGTGAGCTGGCACTGGTTTAGACTTCATGCTCTCCTCTTCCTCTTCCTCTGCGGCCGCAGCCGAGGCTTTGGAGGACCCTCTGGCTGCTTTCTGTTGAGACGACGGTTGGAGAATTAGAGCCAATTTCATGTCCTTACTGCTCCTGTAACCGCCGCTCGCATTAAGCTGTACAGTAACTTCAGTGACAAGCAGGTTTAAACTGTTTGACTAGTTTCTCTTAAATAAAATGTCCTCTCTCTACATAACTATAATCGGAACACTAGTGGTGAGCGATTCGGTGAGCGTGCCCGCTGAATGGCCTTTATCTCGGCTGACCTTCACTCTCCTCACTGCACCGCCGCTAAATGGCCACTTCTCTTTATCAAACTGGCCAGCACTTTAGCTGGAAATTAAACGACACAAGGAGAGGAGAGGAAATCAGGAGCATAATTGGAGACACCTCGCGCTCTGGAAAGCGCGTGTCATCAACTTCTTCAAATTGGGCCGTTGAGAGGGCGCTCGCCGGGCCCGAGGGGTCAAGAAGTGATTCTGGTGAGTTTGAGGAGAATCGTGGTCCTCCTCCAGCGTTCGACCTGCCCGCCCCTGGTTGACATACTCATTGTGGGGTGGCGGAGGGTTGGTTGGGGGGGGTCAGGGGCAGGTTAACCCTCCCCCTTCAATGCTGTCACGTTTCTCCACTCGGGGGTTAAGAGACTCGACAGAGGAAGCAGGAATCTGTTGAATGTTCCCTGAATTCTAAATCAACAGTTCAAAGTGAGTGTTGAGACTTTCTGCAGTACATACACATTACCATTACACCAGGGGTGGGGGGCACCTACTGTCAATGCACTGAAATAAATCCAATGAAAACTATTCTGAATATCTAGAAACACTGAGTGAGTCCTTTGGTGCCGTACAGCCAAAATCCACCGGCTGTGTTCCACTGGCAGGAAGTCGGCATACAGAATCCAGTCAGTTTTCAAAATAAAATACCCCGTCAGACTGAATTTGATTTTTAAAAAAAAGTATAAATTAAGAATAAACACAATTAAAACAGAGAAATCATTTAACTACGTCGCCTACTGACCCGTGATAGAAGCACTAACAGAAAGGAAAAATGGACGGATGACGGAGTCAGGTGTTACAAGGGAAATGGAGTTATGGCTTGTAAAAAACTTTAGATTTTGATTTCAAAACACATGAAAGTATGTAATAATGATCTAAATGATTATATTTCTTTGGTAAGAGGCCACGGTATCAGCGTGATCGTGTGTGTGCCGTAATCAGAGTCAACGTTGATAGGATGAAATAATACTGTAGACAGTAACGCCAGCGTAGACGCAAACTGTTATCACACGAAAATAGTGTTTTAAAATGTTGACAGCTGAATGTCTGACACACCTGACCTTGTCATGTTCTCACCTTTTCCCTGGTGGGGGGATCTTGTACCTTGGCAGTTGACGCCCCTGCAGGTCTTTGAGGTACGGAGAAGTCAAGAGTTCCCGTGACAACACCGGTCAGCAGCGCTTTGAGGCGCTGGTAGTCCGGTTTCTCCTGGTAGCCCAGAGTCTTCACATACAGGAGGAACGCAGCCACCTCGTCTGAAACAGGAAGAGAGTGAACGTCAGACAATCTGTAATCTATAATCATTAAACAGTGTGAACTCCAGATGTTCTTTATGGAGTTGATTCAGTCAATAACTCAGACTCCCTAATAGCGTCACCAGAGGAAGATTGCTATAGACGGATATTGTGGCTTCATTTTTGTACAGTGGGAGGAAGCGGAGACGCCCATCTTTTATACGTGAATGTTTTGAAGCTAACCTGAACAGGACCTTTAAAGTCAGTGTGTGGAAACGAGGCTAAACAACGATCCGGACTACAGGAAGATGAAATCCTGGTTCTGCTGCTGCCTCTCTCTCAGCTACCTGAGGCTCCTGAATAACTTTGTAGCAATTAAACAGCCGTCCCATTGACATGCCTTTCAAAGTTGGTCGTGTTTTATCTCTCCTCTCTATAAGGAGAGGTCACACCCGTGTGAGGGCTCAGTGTGTGATGTATGGTCGGGACCGGGTGCTCCTTTGCTGACAAGGCCCGGCTGCCCGCCTCAGATAAGAGCCGGGGTATGCATCAACTGTGTGTGTGAGAGATACAAGTACTACCGCAGTATGTGTCATACACGTCGTCTGGCCAGCGCGATGCATCACAGCTGAATGTGTATGACACACAGACACACACAGACACACACGGGGCTGTGCGCATGCCTAATCTGCGTTGGAGATACAATGCCAGGCAGCGTTTATCTGCACTGTGAGACCTTCAGGTTCATCCTGCATGACTCAAGTCTCCTGGAGAAGATTTCATACTGAGGATGCAGCACTGCTGACACGAGCTTGAAGTAGAATCTCTGTTAGTAAAATTAAAACGTTGGATAATAGCGTGTGAAACCGATGATACATGATGATACAGTACAACAGTCATTGAAGTCAGCTTCTCCCGGTTAGGATTCCTTCAGTGTTCATGGTTCAGGAGGTTTCTACCGGCCTCCTCCTCTCAAACAAACAGACCCGCTGATTAAAACCGCTAAAAACACTGAATAAAGCAGTTCCACCTTAAAAATCACTGCTTCTCCCACACTATTCAATGTTTGACAGCTTCTGGCAGACAACCACAACGCTGACACAGGCACAAAGGGGATATGACGCCACTGACAGGCGACCGGTGAAACACAGCGTTACCTGAATAAAATGACAGATTTTTCTGAGTTTGAACATTGTTGGAAACATTTGGGATAATGTAAGAACACTAAATGTGTCGACAAAGTTAAACTGAAACATGATATGTGTCCGTCTCTCTCCATTAACGACCTACATATTTTTTCTGAAATAAGGTCCCATGGAGGTCACCGGTGGGGAAGGGACGTCGCCTCTCTACAGGATTTAAATTTCAGCTGCACGCTGCTGTGAACACGATGGACAGAAACTCCCCAGGAAGACAGTTCATGTTTGATGCCTCACATGAGCAAACCTTGTCTAAAATATTCTGTCTGTGCATACAGGAACTACTGTATCACCCATAATCCCTGTGTAAGTCAGCCAAGTATCTGTATTAGTCTGTTACTGTGGATCTCCATTAAAGGAGCTGAAGATAACAGACAGAGATTCCCCTCCTCTCCTCCACAGCTCGGAGGATTCGTCCACTCTGTCCTGTAACCTGAAGCTGCCCTGTGGACCTGGTCTTACCTGTGCTGGCTCCGCTCACAGAGAGCCGCTGGACAGAGTCTGGCAGATTATCCATCAGTCTGATAGAGGGGCAGAGGAGAAGATAAAACAGTGAGGACAGAAGCATTATGGGAACAAGCTGAATCCACATCCAGCAAACTGTCCTGTGTTGTAATTAGTGTTCTAGTACTCTAGCATTTGTAGTACTAATATATGTTGAGTTCAATCTCCATCAGTCTCTAAAACTGAAGCTTACACTGCAAAAAAGGAATCTCAAGAAAGTCTTGTTTCTGGGAAGTGAGTCTTATTTCTTTTCTAAAAAGAAAAATAATCTTGTCGAGCATATTTTGCACTAGAAAAGTAATCTGGTTGTTGTAATTGAGTTTGATTCAACCTGTAACAACAATGGTTGCGTAATATCCCAGCAGAGGAACAAGATCATTTTCCTTATTTTTCAGAGTAAGAGCACAGCTTCTCAGTTTAAGAGAAAGGTGTCTCGTCCCAGGGTTGGAAATGAATGGTGCCTTCATTTAAAACAGTACAAGTGACTACCGACCTGGCCTTGGCCTCCTGGACCTGAGTTGGGTTCTTGAGAACTTTGTTCCACGGCAGAGAACCGCATAACCAGTGAAGAAGACAAAAACCCAAAATCTGGAGGTCACCACGTCTGGATGGAGCTAAAAGAGACAGAAAGACGGTCTGCTGTTAATATTCTGTTACATGCTGCTTGTTTCTTTTACCCATAAATCATTTCAGTTTGTGAAATACTGACTCAGCTCTTTCATTTAAATAACATATTTTATGGTCAGCTAGTGCTTTTTATCTTTCTTTAGATTTTCTACTTACACTGAGGCAAATTCCTCGCATGTGAAAACCTTCACAATAAACTGAACTCTGACTCCGATTCATTATTAAGACTTCTGTACTTTAAATGTCTCCTAAAGGTAACCAAAGACACCTCGGGGATCTGATCAGGAGGACAGGGAGAACAACAGAATTTAATAATGTGGAATGTATGGAGTGATTTCCTGTGTGCGAAGACTTCTTGAAGTCCAGAGTGTGTTCTTATTGTGAGAGTGTGTGATTGCATGGGTCTACATTAATGTGTGAGGTCTATCAATACTGGTCGACCAAGTCCATCCAAAGGGGTCGAGCCCGGGGAGTTTTAGCAACTCAATACTGTAACGGCCACCACGCGTCTCTGGAGAAATTACCTATCGACTGGCTCCATCAGAGGGGAGAAATCTCCTCCCTGAGCCACGGCCGGCATTGATCCTCCGCAGCCAACAGGCTGGTCTAAAGAGGAAGCATGGCCACTGCCACACAGGAGCAGATTACATGGAACGGGCGGGCACCGGGCAGTAATCTGATTGTACGTTCGGGAAATGTAAGTAATCCAAATGTTTTTAACGTAGGTACAGAATATCGAGACGTAGAGGGTGAGCTGATGAGCGGAGAGCAAGGGATGAAAGGAAATCACTTCAAGGACATAAATGTTGTGCCCGAATCCAAAACTCAGAACTGTCTGGACCCAGCAGGGAGGCTGAACGATCAATGAGGATGATCAGGATGGGAGAGGTGGTTGAAGATAGGAAGGGCTGTTAGCTAATGTTCTTACATCATCAGAAACCCCGTGGAAGATTTCTTTTTAATTAAATCTACACGATTGATCATTTATATATAATCAATTTCTTTACTGCGCTCTTAATGCATCTGTCTTTTAGCCAATATATAAATGTATGATTGCTCATGTGAATCATTTAAATAGAGCTGTTGTGGTGAAGGAACTTGCTGTGACTTAAGGTGGCTCAACAGCGGCATAACGTTTGATCTCAGTACCTGTTGATACTGCACTACTAATCACCTGCACTCCTGGGTCTGTGTCCCTGTTAACTGCTAACTTTGAGCCCAAAAAACACCTAGTATACTATCACTAGTTAACCGGGTCGCCCGTTAAACTGAAACACTGGCGAGTCGCAACCACTACAGCTGTGGTGAGCTGGTCCAGTCAGCATTTTCTACTGCGACACTGCTGGTGGTTCCGGTCGGGAGTCTTTCCAGAGCGAGTGAGGTGGAGGCTACCAGACTTTCTCCTGTGTGGTACTGTAATCCTGGACTGTGAACTGAGGGATACTGTGAAGAAGTAGGTTGTCAGTGTGGAACGATTTTTAAGAACTTTTTATACAATCTCCGGTCTATATTAGATTTTTACATCCTTAATAAGCTTCTTTTTTGACAAATTCCCTGATACCTGACACATTGTTTTAACAGCGTACTTTTCTAATGCACGATTCTGAAGTTGATTCTGAAGGTCTGAAGCTTTGGCGACCCCTAGCGCGGGGTGGGACCCCCATGTTGGGAACCACTGGGATAGAGGGTGTTGCATGTTGCATAGAATACATCTACAATCTTTCTTTTTCTGCAGTGAAAACAGCACAGCGTGTCCACTATATGTGAGCACTGATACACAACTCTGAGTGGATAGGAGTTCGCTCAGTTTGGAGGTCAGTGTTACAGTGTGGCTTCCTATTGTTGTAAATAATTACACAGCAATTCACTGCTACCGAGAGGCCGTTAGAGGAGAATAAAGATGAAAAATACATGTGATAGTGACACTGGAAAAAGTGCTACAACTCCCAGAGCGCCATAATTGATTAACAATTAAAAAGATCAACAACTACATTAAGCGCTGCTGCCCTCTGTGCGTGCTCTGGGCCCGTTACTGAAGCTCATAATAGCGTTCTGTGTTTCTGATCTTCTGTATTTGATGCCCTCGTATGAGGAATGAGTCAGTATGGTGCAGAGAGAAACACGTGTGTGTACACATACACAGCTCTCAAAGGGAGATTGGACACACACACATACACGCGTGCACACCGCTCACATGTTCTCTACATGCTTCAGACAGGGAGGTGAGGCAGCGACGGTGTTGTTGTTAATTATCTCCTATTGTTATTCAGATTCCCTAAAGCGCGCTGCGGTGTCGCACTCGTAACCCTTCTGCTTCACAGTCTTGTTGTTCGGAGACGGTCTTCTGTCCGCTGGACGCCCACCGAATGCCGGTAATTACACCGTTTAGCTCCGGGTTCAGAGGCCTGCCACTTCGGCAGCTGCGTTCACCAAACCCTCACCATGGCAACCTGTCAACATCTTTGCGGGGATTGGTGCCATCGGGTCAGGGGAGGGCAGATGAGGGTCCGGTCCTCGGTCATAATCCTTTTTTAAGCAGGCGTTAAAGGCGACAGTTTGTATGTTTCCTCCCCACAGGTGGAGCTTCCTGCAGGTCTTGGAGCGACTCGTGTAAACAGGGATGGATCTGTGTTTAAACAGTGATTATCTGCCGGGCTTGCAGCACTCCTGGAGCCCCAATAAGAGCACTTGGTGGAAATGGACTTTTACATTGTGTGCCTTCATGTAGAATAGCAAAAAAAAAAAAAAGGTGCATCATTATTTTTATAGCTCACCCTTCCTCCCCCCTTTCAAAACCACATTAAAATTGACGTGACTTTCCATTTCACAGTTACTGCTGACAGGACATTTTCTGCCCCTCTTTTACTTATCGACTGCGTTGATAGAAACACCGCAGTGGCGATTAGGCAGTCCGAGCCTCGCTAACTCACAGTATCGAACCGGAGGGTGGTGGAGTCGGTCGGCGTGGAGCTCGTAGAGGTTATCTGTGGCTCGGGCCCTCGCTCTAACCAAACATCAAAGCCCTTAATTAATGGGGGATGAATACACGATGCAGGTTATGACTTGGGCTAATTAGGGAATTGTTAAACAGAGGCAGTGCCGGGGAATTCAGCGGGGGCCGCGGATGGAGAATCGATGGTCAATGAAGAGAGGGAGCATGTAGGCAATTTGCCAGTTAATGTGTTCCCAATATCCTCCGAGGGAGGCAGCGCGGAGAGACTATTTTACATGTATTGACGAACAAAGACTGCAAAGAAAAAGGACAGAGCTTATAGTAGAGTTAATATAGATACTGTAGAAATACCTGAATACTGGCAGTTGTGAATCAAGGGGTATGTTTGTTCTGGGTAGGTTTATTGCTGTTCTTTTGTCCCAGTAATGCACCAATCAGGACAAAAAGAAAAGAAAAAAGAAATTTGCTGTTGAAAAGAACTACAGAGCGGGTAGCGAGCTGCTGTCGGCTCTTCTTATGGCGACGTTTTTCAGAAACTTTGGAAGTTTTGCCGCAGTGGTTCCCAACCTTTTTCCTTAAGGGATTCTCTCCACTTATCACTGAGTAAACTAAGTGACATATTTTATGGATATTTCATATTATATTCAATGTATAACATTAACAGTATAGAACAGCTGATAAACTGTACAATGAACACAAACAGTGAGCTCCGGAGGTTTGTGTAAAACCAGAGATTTGGATGAATATTGATCACAGATGAGTTTTGCTGATATTTTTAGGAGCTTTTTCTTCAGTTCTGTCTGTATTCTGTATTTATGCTTCTTTTTTGACAAATTCAATGTATTCTTCCCATTGTTCTATTAGCTCTTTGGTTGTTTTTGTTACTTTTATAATGTAGGACGAAGCTTTTATTTACGTTTTATTTCAAGGTTGGATAATTTTTTTTGTTGAGATTTTTCAAAATAAAAGTGCAGCACCTGATATATCAGCTGCTGTCGGCCAGTCTGCTGACCCACCTCGTGACCCAGTGGGCCGAGTTGTTCTGTGTGAAGTCAGAGAAAGGCCTGTGCAAACGCCACGGTAACCATGGTAACAATCCAGAAACAAGTTTTGCAGATAAACCAGTGTCGTTTGGTTCAGCTGCTGATTGATCCATACGCGGGACGTATTTTCCGCAGGACGTTCTGACCGGTACTTTTATGAGAGAACATGTCCTATAGCAGCTAACAGACTCCCCGAGTGTTTTTACCGAGTCCTTTGTGGGCGTCGAGGCTGGTGTACTCGATGGTTCCATTGTGGCCCTTCTTGGGGTTTTCTTTGTATTCTTTGTGGACTCCATCGGGGCAGTATCTGTAGGACAGCCCGTAGTCTGCTAGGTAGACCTACAGCCACACACACACACACACACACACACACACACACACACACACACACACACACTATAATTACAAAGCCATTCAAGACACAAAGTGAATTTATCTTCTTAGAGACATAATCCTCATTAAAATTGATATCTGATAAATGATCATTTGCATTATTAATGTAACAGAAGCATAGGGCTTAATTGTGTTCTATACATAAAGTGTAAGTTCTCACATCGTTGCATGTGCAGGATTAATTAGTGGAGGTCTACAGTGGACTAACCTGTTGATGGTCTCTGTGACCAAGCATGAGGTTGGCAGCTTTAATGTCTGCATGGACGTACTCGTTCTCGTGAATGTACTCCAGCACGTCCACCTGGAACCGCCCAAAACACACAGCATGCAGAATTACGATGAGCTGCAGGAGCTCCATTCAGCTTGTATAAACTAGGTTTAAACTGAAATTTAAATTGTGACGACTAGAACCAGCGGTGGCATTACTGCCGGGGGGGTCCTTTCCCAGCTAGTCGACTGATCGCACACATCCCTGATCAATGACCATTAAAGAACACAATCTCACCATTCTTTGTCCAAGCTGGAGCACGGTGGCCTTCTTCAGTCGACCTCCGTTGTCATCGCAGACTTTCTGCAGGTCACTGCCGAGTCGGTCCATGACCATGAAGCGATACCTGAGTGAGAAATGATTCTGAATAATAGAGCCGCTCTAGCCACTATAATTTTCTTGTTGACTACTAAAGTTGACTACATTTATCATCAACACTGACTGGACATCCACACAAATATATTTTAAATGCATTTACACCGGCATTAAAATGTTTTTCCTTATACCAGATGGGATATGCACACGTCCAAAGAACTAAATCTGCTTTTATAATTTGCACCGGCTGACATTTCCTCTCTCCTATGACAACACAACTCAAAGATTTTAATATTCGTTCAGCGCGCTAAACTTCTCTCTCGGCAGTTCCTGTGGTGAAAACGCAGCTACATGAGTCTCATGTTTTAATGCCTTTCTTCATCATCTGTGACATCGGATTTCCACGCAGTCAGAGAAATTCTTGCTCATATTTCACTTATAAAACCCCAGTGCACCCTGAAGCGTGTCAGCCCAAGAGTCAGTCACAGTGGAAGGCAGCAGAGAAGGTTAGACCGCTGCCGGGTTCAAAGGTGGTTGAGCTGACTTCACTGACAGTCAGCACGGAGCAGAGAGCGTCGGAGTGCTTCTTAGTTTTGTGGTTTGGGATCATTTTGAGACCCGGTTTGCAGAGTTACAGGCTGATCGTTGACTTTTTTGGTGCAGCCCTGCAACATTTGAATAATCATGTCACCTTAAGGTGCAACGTATCAGAAACAAACCTACAGTAATTCTGTAAAATGCAGAGAAAATGCTGCTGTTTGAAAAAAGGGAGTAGACATGTAAAACAATCATCATCTGATAACATGTTGTCAATACCTGAGGTCATTATATTCAGCAAGCCCGGATCCCCAGTACGCTGGGATGCCCAGGAAGTCCAGTTTCCTGCTTCTCTTCCATTTTTGCACTGAAACGAGATTAAAAGAGGAATAATTAAGTCCATTTTCTTACAAAAAAGCAGAAACCCTGGTGCTTTGGACTACTTTGTTGTTCTGACAATGAGTCTGGAGGGAGTCTAATGATTCCCTAACCTTGACCTAACCCCCAGTCTCTCTTCTTCCAAGAGGAATCTGAATGAAAGCCCTTAAACTCTGCGAAAAGTAGGCAAAGATTTTGTCCAGAACTCCAATTTGTCCTTGTAAGTGTAATAATGCATGCATGCAAATATCAATCTTACTGTACTGAGGGTACTACCCACACACACACACACACACACACACACACACACACACACACACACACACACACACACACAGGCCCCAGACAAAGCAGTGGGCCTGGCTCGGGGCTCTATGGCGGCTGGCCTGACTGGCGCTCAACCAGACTGGCAGGTGGTCAGGGGCTCAGCGGAGGCCCGGCCATCATTACGTGTGAGTGGCTCCCTCTCTCTCGCTGCTCTCCAAACGGAGGCATTGGAGAGCTCAGACAAGCACGGACAGAGAGGGAGGGGGGGTGCAACTGCCACTGAGGTGCATGTTTGCTTTGGCTTATTATTAATTACTGTGCGGCAGGCGGCAAAGCCTCTGTGACTGCGGCCACTTCATCAGTCAAACACACTCGTGCTCCAGCGAGCTGCCGGGACGCCGGACGGGCGGCGCTACTCACTGCTCTCCGGTTTGGCTGCCCTCTGGTAGAACTTGAGCTCGGAGAACAGGGGGCCGTTCTCCTGGTACTCCTGCGCACACAAACACACGTTATTAACAATTTCCTGATTACCTGACGCTTGAAGAAGCTCCGGACAAAAATACACACACGTCTCAGCATACACCCCCTAAAGTGTCCTAACTAATAATCACCTTATTACCAATTCAAGTTGTGCAAATAAAACTGGTTGTGGATTCTTTCCCACAGTGCTTGACGATACACCGGATGAACCGCTATACCAGTTTTAATTTAATGGTCAGTTTTAATGATAATATCTGATGATTAATTGATTAATAATCTGAAAGAACTGCTGTAACTCGTGTTTTTAGATCCTATGTACTCCTGACAGTAGAAAAAGGCAACATAAAGCTACAGAAAGGTCCAGTGATGCAAAAATATGAAGTGAATCTGCCAGAATCTTAAAAAAATAACACCATGTCACAGATTTTTGGTCACAGGGGTCAATATTTAGGGTTGTCTAGGCTTTACCACAGCACAATACGACATCATCCAGCAAGGCACCGCGGTGGCCCATCAGATACATTCAAGGTTGATTACTTGGTATTTCTACTGGCAATGAAAAAGAAAACCTCTACTGTCTCAGTGGATTATAAACTGCTGCTACTCTGACTAACACTAACTGGATTTCCTGGATCATGTTTCAGGTACCTGAAGCAACACAAAGCCCATCAACGCAGCCCAGTGCGTTGTTTTAAAGCACAGCTGTGTTCGGTCTGATGCTTTTATTTTGGGAAAAGAAGGAACCACTAACTTAAAATCATGTGACGTTTAGTGAAGTTGAACCAAAAAAAAAAAAAAAAAAAAAAAAGAGGAAATGTCACTCTAAACACTTCCTACATGATTTATTGTCCGTAACCATGGTAACAGCTGCAGTATGTACCAACATGTAACAAACAACAAGCATTATTGTGTCTGTGTGCAAATGTACTCACCACTTTAATGACAAAGTCGGTGTCTGCTGCAACAGGTCTGTGCACATCCCGGGAGGCTGCGAGACAACGGCAGAGGAACCATGAAACCAACAAAACGCCAAACTGAGCACTACAAGGATTTGTAAACGTTGGGATTTACAGGTCTTCATGAACTCTGGAGACTGGGTCGCAAACCCAAACGTGGGTCTTCCTCCTCCTCATTTATTCTCATTTATAAAGTATTTAAAATCGTTTTACTGATGAGAGGAAATAGAAACAGTGAGACGGCCTGTTACAGTAACTTTTAAAAATCACCAGGCCTTTTATAATTTTCATTCATAAAACACAGTTGTGATTTATCAAATGTATTTCTCTTCTAGATAGCTGCTTTATCTGTCCTAGAAAACATGACGTGATGCAGAAATACCTGTAAAAATGTTCACTTTGGTTTATCATTTATTAAAAAAAGTGGATCTCCAGAATAAAAGTTTGGGAAAACACTGGATCAGAGGAGTAAGGGAACTGAGACACGACGAGCTGATGAGTTGAAATCTGATCTGTTCAAACATGTTTCACAACCAGGAGAGAAAGAGATCAATCAACAGTCTCCCCAGAAACAATGTGTGTACCTTGTCCTACAGGTGTGCACACATGTACATACTTAAGAGTGTGTGTGTGTGTGTGTGTGTACCGAGATAGATGAGTCCGAAGCCACCTTGAGCAATCATTTTCCCCAGCCTCCATTCCTTCTTCTCGGCGTCCGTCAGTACGAAGTGCTCTGGGAGCGGTTTGGGTAGCGCCCTCTTTCTCGGCGGCGCCATGAAAACTGATTCAGAAAATATGTGCAAGACAGGATTAAACCTTTACATACAAAGTGATTAACATTACAATGTCTGATCCAGAACATCTCAACTCAAACTGCAGAGAAAATGTAAAGGGAGATTTAATTATAGGTGAGCAAACAGTAAACTTTCCACCTTCTGTCTTACAGTTAAACACATAGTGTCAGCTCTCTAAGTCACAGAAAACACTATTTAAAATACAGCCAGCTTTAAGAAACAGTGCTTTAATAACTGCTGCTGTAAGTCACACACGAAGTTCAAAGTCTGAGATTCCCACAATGCTTTTAGGAAACAGTAATATCTGAACCGACTGTTGTTGGTCAATCTGTTTCTCCTCTAAAACACAATAACAACTCATATATGTGTTTTATTTTATGCTCTCTGCTCTGAATGTAGTTTCACTTTGAATAACCTCTCCTCCGACCGGGTAAAGATTGGATTTTAAATAAGGTTAAGGAAGTTACTTTTAAAACGCCTCCAGGATCCGGTGTGTGTCTGTTGTTTGTTGTTTTTATTTCTCTTTTTGTTTATCTGTCTTTGTGTACTTTATTGCTGTTTATAACAGAAACTAACTCATGTTTTTGCACCAATAAAAACTAGATAAATCCCAATAAAAAGGACACTGATTACTCAGATCACAACGACATGCACTCCTGGGTGAGGGGCTTAAACACAATCCAGGTTTTCCAGGACAACGGGAATTATTTCCAGGATTTTTTGGTCATTTTAATAAATTTCCATGAGTGGAAAACCAGTGTGTAAATGTTTCAATCCTTATCTTTGTGCACTTTGTGCTTTCTCTGTGTGTAGTGTTGTATGTGGAGCTGCTGAGGGATCAATAAAGGATCAATAAAGGATCAATAAAGTCTCTTATCTTTAAAACATTACAGGCTGTAAGGTGTTATTTAAACTTTACTGGCTCCTTACAGTACTGTCACTGACTTTACTTTACTTTTAACAACAATAAGACAGTTTAAGGAAGCTCACAGTTGTACCAATAGTTAGTTTTGATAAAGTTATTGATTGAAACACAACAAAGATGAAAGTTAATTATTAACGTTAGCGCCCAGCTAGCGGCTAACCTAGCTAGCAAACGGCTCTTTAATATGACTATAAAATACTACAGACTGTAAAATATTCACCGACCTGCGAAGGGAATCCGAGCCGGACGTCGTCAGTTGAGTTGTGGGTAGAGAAACATCTGGATAATCTGTCGTAAGTCCCCTAAAGTTCCCTCAGTTAGCGCCGACCGGCCGGAGTGAAACACAACCGCTGCACTTCCTCAACCTTACGCCTCAGCCAATGGCGTGCCAGGAAAAAGTTTCACCACAACGCAACAGCCAATAGCGAAGCAGGAGAGGCGGGACCTTCGTGCACAGAAATCTCAGTGAACAACCACAAACCTGTGAAAGCACTACAGTAGATTCATTAAAATCCAAGAATATTATATTATTAACCTATTATTATCTCAGCAAACTGTCACATTAATCCACTGTTAATCCACCAAGATACATGACAACTATTTTCCCCTCCAACAACAAGGAGACAGTAAGTTTGTGCCCCTCCTTTAATATATTGATGAAGGAATAATGTCAGTATGCCACCTGAATGTGTTCTGTATTATGATTTTTGTTTAATAAATAAGAAGAAAGAGAGAGGATTATATACGGCTACCTTCATCAGTTGTTTGGGGCGACCTCATTTACATAAAACAATGATTAACTATGTGAAACTAATCTTCATCAGCGTGCATATAAAGACAGACTGCGGACAAAAGCAGCTCAGTAACAGACAGAAGGATTAACTGGTGGAAAGTTTAACACTTTTTATATGACTTAGTTTACCTTTTTTTTAAATATATATTTATTTCTGTTATTGTTTTGTGGGTTTATTGAATGTGTGCCGTGTATCGAAGGAACCACAGAGAATGAAATGTCAGTGGGTTTTCCCTGGTTGAATAAAAATAAATCAAATAAATGAATTCAGATATGAAAATATGTGTATATTTTATTTTAATAAAGGTCACAATGACATTATATATGTTTATGAGCAGGAGCGTGTTGACACAAGAGGAGCTCTGACTTATACCATGTTTTTTTGTATTTATAAAAATGTTTCCCTAAATAAAACTTCATTTCGACCATATTTTTTTTGTTTTCGAGTTAAAATAACTTTTAATCACATTAAAATCAATCAGATGAGTTAATTTAATTAAATAATTGCTAAATTTTGTAAAAAAGAACATTCTTGATTAAGTATTTATCAACTTCAGTTTGTAATTTCTATTTGTACTGTTAAGTTGTGATGCTTAAAATGTTTGATTTAATTAGTTTCAACAATTTCAGCGGAGTTGGCGAGTTTCAAAACTCGTTAAAGACAGTTGCCTTTAAATTCTGTGTTTTCTCAGCTGTTGATATTGCTGTTATATGTTATAGGTAACTTCAGTTTCAGGAGTTATCCTCCTGTGTATCAGCCACTTTCACACAGATCCTGGCACCCTCTTGTTACACTCAGTACTAAAGTGGACTCCACCTATGCATGAATACTCCAAACAGTCAATAAGGGCGGCCGGCGTTGGCGAAAAACCTGCAGTAAGACGGAGGCAGAGGTGGATTCTGACATGGGACCGGGCTTTCAGAGCAGCCTCTCATACGCTGCTTATTCAACTTACTTACACAAATCAATAACAGTTTGTTTTCAGGAATTCAGGCGTCCCCATTGTAACCCAGCTTGATCTCCGTTTTGCTGTTCAACGCGGTCAATACGGCGCCCGGCTGTAATGAACGTGGGCCGCGGGAACACGCTGGAGCTGCTGGTGGACGGGAAACTCACACACTTCGCTCCACTCATCGCTCCCAATCAAGCTTGTTTTATCCCGATGAAAGGAGAGGGAAAATGCCTTCCCTTGTTGTTCCTGTCGGCGTGCACCTGCAGTGAGCCTATCGATCCGCAGGCACCCTCAGGGCCTAATTTAAGACTCAAGGATTCTGCTATGAAAGGGAGAAAATAAAACATCACCAGTTGAACGTCGGGTAGTCGAAAGGGAAACTGGGTCTGCGTTGGATTGGAGATGAGCTCTGAGTCATGTGTCTATAGAACGACACTCACAATGAATGCGGACTAATTATTGCACTGTAGAGGCTACGGTGCATCAGAGTACCTGCTATTAACTCAACTTTATGTAGCTGGCTCAGATTTTAATTGCATATCCTTCCCTGATATCTTCCCACAAGCGTGTGCTTCATCAGTTCAGTGTGCCGTTAATACCGGTCCCTCCAGACAGTTAACACAATGGTCAATTTTCCAGCCACTAGAGCCCCAAAGTTTGTTGTTAGAAACTACAGTGTGGGTCCCCAGCATTTAGAAACGGCCAGATACTAACGTGCATATGTTGGTCAATTTACATTATTGGATTTAATGACATTAATAATCACCTATATGGGCAATATTTCAGCAACAGTTTGGCCGATTTGGATGATATCGAAGTGGTTTTTGGGGCCATTTAAACAGGAAGTAGCGGTGTTTCAACTCCCTGCGGGCTGATTTTGATTCTACCTGTAACGAACCTGAAACAACTCATGAAGGAGGAATAAAGGAGTTAAATGTGTGAACACTAGGAGTTTAGTGACATCTAGGGGTGGAGTTGCAGATTGCAACTAACTGAACTGCCGATTAAAACCGCTAAACACACTGAATAAAGCAGTTCCACCTTAACAATCACTGCTTCTCCCACGCTGTTGGACAGACAAAGGACGTCCAGGAGGGGCTGCGAGCCGAGCTGCTGCTAACGTTAGCTCAGCTTGTTTCTCTGATAACTTAAGATCCAGACGTCCGATGACTAAAATCCTTCATCCGGTTCAAATCTAGAGTTAAAAAGCACCAAGATCTAAACAGTGGATGGTAACAATGTGGCTTCAGACTGGATCAACAGTCAATGTATGACAGCTTCTGGCAGACAACCACAACGCTGACGCAGGCACAAAGGGGATATGACTCCATTGATTATAGATTATTGATTTATTCAACTACATATAGGACATAGCTCTTAAATCTACACACTGTTTAATGAGGAGATGTTATACATTATATCTTTAACTTTAACAGGACCAATAGAGGTCAAATGACCAAATAAATAACCGGTCCACAATCAATCCTAAAGTCACCGATGTTAACTTCATTGATACTGTAACCTCTTGCTGCAGTCCTCCCTCCATCTCTCTACCGTTTCCTCTCTGTTGTCCTCTCTCTTTTTCACCTCTCCTCTCTCCTCCCCCCTCCGACTCCGCCACCTCTCACCCGGAGGTAATTGCTCTGTGAGCTCGGAGCGACGCCGCGGTCTCCTCTCGCAGTCTGGGCTCGGCGACACCAATCTCGGCGAGGGCGTGACACCATTTTGTGTAACTGGCCCTCGTGATGGAGATGGCATAATTGTCCTAATTAGAGGGGGGTGGGGGGGCTGCGGCTCGGGCGGCCACGGCTCTGACCCACCCCGGCCCGAGTCCATATGGTGGGAGGCTGATAATGAGCCAGTTAATGTGCTGTGTCCATCAGTAAGAGATACTCAGCGTGCCACAGAGACGGAGGAGGTTTCACTCTCTTTGCCCTCGTTTCTATTTCCTCTCGCTCACTCGTACATTTACATTTCGGCTCCAAGGAAAGATCGGACTCAAAAACCTGATTTATTTATGTGCTTAATTACCGGCTGTAGTCGTACCTGTCAGCACATCAGTGGGCGTCACTAACATCCTGCCCCCTGTAGCACAAACTGTTTCATTTTATGAATCATTTGTTCCTGGCTCCCATCATGCAGCTGTGTCACTATTTCATGTTTGTTCCCGTTATGAATATGAGACGTATTGCCAGTTCAAATGAAAGTAATACAAATCTAATGGCCAGTAATGAGATGCTGTTTCACCATTATTGGACGCGGGCTGGGTGTGTGCCAGTGTGTGTGTGTGTGTGTGTGTGTGAGTTGATGCTAATAAAAGCGTACTTTCTGCTCCAGGGAGCAAGCACTGACCAGGATTCAGATTAGGCCTTAATGGCTTCCAGACCTGGGGCTAAATTGAAATGTAAAACCTCAAACCAAACATCATTTGGTCCTTACGTTTCTCCATGTGGCCCAGCAACTGGAAATTGGAGACGTGTAGCTGTTTAATTGTGATTTGCTTTGTTTCGTGCAAACGTTGAACATGAACAAAGACGCACGTGTGGATTTGCATCGTGACTATTTGTGTTAATCTGCAACCTCCTCCCCTGCTTGACAGACTTTTTTTATTGGCAGCAGCAGTGGAAAGTAACTAAACTACTGTACAATTTTGTAGTATTTCCATTTTGTGCTATTTTTTACTTCTACTCTGCAACAAAGTCCAAGTTTATAGCTTCCTGTTTGGTTTGGGGTTTGGGTCCAAGAGGCTTTTTTGCTTGTTTGGTCTTACACATACACATGTACCAATTTTGCTACACATCGGTACAACGTGGGCTGATGTTGGGGGGTTTGCTGTTGATCTACACCTCCGTGGACTTAATAAATCTCCAAATTGAACACTCTTCTGTATCTGGACGTTGAGACATCTTCCTTTCACAGCCTCTCTGTGTTTGTTCAAGGTCTCCCTGTCGTTAGCCTCCGACAGCTAAACACCAATATCAATTATCTCTCCGGACAATGCAGTATGACAGGAGGCTATTCTGTCAAATGTTTCTCACCCATCTGGGGTGTGTACTTGGAGAAGTGAAAAGAGACGAGTGTGCTGCGGAGGTCGGAGCACTGGCCTGGCTGCCTTTGTGGTGCGTCATTAAAAAGCGGCACACTCCGGCACACGACACATCCGCAGCTTGATGGCATTGACGAGGATGACCTTGACCAAGGCAACACCAACAGTGTTAACTAGTGGAAGGAGAAAGAAAGTGGAAGGATAGAAAGAAAAAGATGTGAAGTCTGCGGAAGATATTTTGAAATGCTTTTTTCATCGTCCTCCTTGAGCAGCATTGATTGGGTGCAGTTTAAAACCACGGCTTGACCATGCATCTCTCCACTCTTCTGTGTGGCTTTGTCTGGAGGTTCACGGACTGCGGTCACTGCTGCATTTAATCCAACAAAGCATTCGCCTTCAGTGCCTCCGCCAGAGTCTTACCTCAGAGTTAACTAAAGTTATTAGACGGAAGAAAAATCCAGTGTTTTAAGACTTCTCTGCAGTACTTTAATGTGTTAGTACTGCAGTTTAAAATGGACCGACTGAGCCAAATGCAAAATGTAGTTTTATTGAAGGTGGTCCGGGAATTCACATTTAAATGCACCAATC